CGTTTTCAGCCAATAGTCCATTAGACATGCTTGATACTGGTGGCAATGGACTGGCATGCAATGAAGGTGAAGCAGTTAGGGGGGGAGTTTTGGTTGCCGATGAACTAACATCTTCCGTTGACATTCCATAACGCATGTTTGAAATTGATGGCAACGGGCTTGCAAGCAATGAAAGCGAAGCAGTTAATGAGGGAAGCGTATTAGCTGATGAACTTAAACCTTTAGCTGATAATCCACTGGATATGCTTGATACAAATGGCAATGGGCCCGTATGCAATGAGGGAGAGAAAGTTAGTGGTGGAATCTCAGTTGATGTACTCAGCTCTTCCGCTGAAAATCCAGTTACATAGAGCATTGCTTGCAATGAGTTTGTTGATTGTGGAGTTTCAGTGGATGAACTAAAATCTGAGCTTGGAAGATTAGCTCTTCTAGAGAGGGCTGGCAGTTGGCTTGCAGTTAAGGAACGTAAAGCGGTTATTGTAAGTTGTGGAAGTTTTGTAGACAAATTCAAATCTGTAGTTGATGATCCACCGATTAAACTGAAAAACTCTGAAATGTCGCTGAGATATGAGTCCAGGGAAGGATTAGGTTGTGCAGTTTCACTAGACAGAAGTACGGTTTGACTAGACACTTGATCATTCACAACGCTGGATATCATTAGTGTTGGATTTGCTGATACCAGTAATGGAAGGGAAGCAGGAGACAGAAATTTAGCCAAGGAAGAGAAGGTTGAAACAGTACCCAACTGACTTGATTGAAAAGAAAGCAAAGAAGTCTGTGGATGACTTTTAGCTGAAGAGGTCAGAGTGGATGACAGAAGACCACGGAACATAAAGGACAGGTCTAGTATTTGGCTTGCTTGCAATGAAGGTGAAGCTGACAACTGCAAAACTGTTGTCAGTGAAGAGGATACATCACGTGACCATTGGATTTCATCTAAAAAGCTTGATGAGGCGACATGCTGGACTGGACTTGAGGATGGAGAAGGTTGTAAGGTTGCAGTCAAAGCAAAAACTGTGTTTTTTGCTGAAATATCAGAGTCCAGATTGGAAGATGAATAGAAAGAATTTATATGTGGATGATCAGCTTTAGTAGCAGAAACTGTGATGCCGTCACTGGGTGAATGACTGAACAAAAAGCTAGGTGGTTGCATTTCTTGCAAAGCTGTGTTCCAATCCTTCAGATTATAGTTACTCATAGAACTTCTGTTCAAAGTGCTTGCAATACCTGCATCAGATGTCTGGTACATATACAATAACCCATCATTCATTTTTTCAGTTGCTAGACCTGTTGCCAATGAAATCTGATACGTCGATACTATGGCAACCGCATCATCGGATGGCTCTACAGTTTCTAGAAAAACAGATGACACCTTTATTGGAAATGTTGATGATGTTGCCATGCCAACAGTGTCAGTCCTCTTAAGATCCAACTCAAGATGGCTGCTGTCAAATTCATATCTTTTATCACTAGATAAAGAATTCCTCAGAACTTGGTTTATGGAGGCCGATGTTTTCATAATGACAACTTCATCTCTGGTACCAACAAATTCTGCAAATGCACTGTACGAAGAGCGTTGTTCAGGCAATGCACTGATATTATCCCAGAAGTCTGTTGATGCTGGAGAATTGTCTTCAGTTGCCATTGGAATGTCATCACTATGGATAAGACTTGGGGTCTTTGTGTTAAAATTACTGTCTTCGTATGACACACTTGAAACAGATGCTGAAAGAAATCCAAACGTTTCCGTAAACATTTCAAAACTTGGGAGAACATGACCAGATGTGTAGGTTATGGGTGTTGGAACCCTGGTTGATGCCAATTCGTGCACACTAGGAAACAGCAATTGTTCACTCAGTAATGGTAAAATAGAGGTAGACACTACGGTAGTCTTCAGCTCAAGTTGTGAGTTTGGAGAATTTGATATACTTTTGGAGGACCCTAAAACAGTTTTCGTTGATCCAACATAACTTTCCACATCAGAGGTTTTTGATGACAGAGGTGAGCCATCCAATGTTGACCTGGATGTCAACATAGTCATCCTCTCTAACTGGGTGAAAGAGCTGCTCATGGGAATGACAGCACTGTAGGATATCTGCTCATCTTGCTGTACTGTTTCAATTGGTGGGAATAAAACTGAAGACAACGAAAGCTGTGTTGTGATTCGCTGGTTTGAAAGCATAAAAGTCTTCTTCATTTCTATTGGTGAAGTTGATGCGAGCTGCTGGCTCATTGGCTCAAAAGATGAACTACGGATATGTGTGAATGATGGTATTGAAAGATTAGCATCATGAAACAAAGTAAATAAGGATGGGGTTGGCAAGACAGGCATGTTGCTCATAGTAGCAACCAGAGCAGATGGAGATCTAGTCTGTGAAACCAACAAACCTTCTGTTGACTGGATAAAGTTGGATTGATGAGAGCTCATCATGACTGGACTTCTAAATGAAGACTTGGGCTTGGCTAGCACAGAACTAAATGAGGAAATCTCAGGTAATCCTGGAGGGAAAAAAAACACCATTAAAAACAATGATAATCTCTGCCGAGCAAGTTCTGCTTGATCTTTGGTATGGTTATTCATTGCTCCCCGCACTAATCTACACCCCATGGTCCATGTATGTCAAGGTTAGCAGAGTCAAAAGAGGGAGGCTCATGTCATTCAGAAGCATGTTCCCTCTGGCACACTTCATGGAAAGCCTACCCCTGGGGTGGGGATTTTGTCACTTCAAAAATTGTAGCAATCCCTCTCCTTGGTCAGGTAGCCTGAGGGGGGAGATAATGCTTTACATGTATCACTTTGGCAGTCTTAGATATGTACAAATACTCTGAACTGGTTACATTATTATCATTATTAAGTACAAGTAAGTTCTGGTAATGTTACCAAGGATTCCTCAACTGAGCGCCCTAGGCACTGTAAGCTTGCAAGCCTTGAAGAAAGACGTAGAGATGAGACAATGAGAGGCAGTTACAGTTTTACAGGTGGGAGGAAAACCCCAGAGGAATATTCTGGGTACACGTAAAACCCACAGAACCAGGTAGGGACTGAAAACCCAATTCATGGACCAAGCTGGGAATTGAACCCGGACCGCAGAGATGAAAAGCAAGGAAAGAACAACTACGCCAACCTGACCCCATTTTGCACCAAATTACTGTATGCCTTACGACAACACTCACCTGCTGTTGAGGATGTCAGGTTGGTTGATACCAATCCTACCAATGTGATCAGCCACATTGATGACATCATGTGTGACATCACAGCTGCTTCTGATTGGTACATGCTGCTAACTCTTCATTCAGGTAATGAAACAATTTTTGGCATTTGCACTGTCCAAATCCTAGTCATACTGTCAACTCGATGATCTTGGGTTCAAAGATATGACCTTCCCAGGCAAACAGTGCACGACTGGAACTTTATCAGAACTCTCTATTATGAAGGAAAAACATGTGAAAATTTCAAAGAATTAAAACAAAAATGGACAAAGAATATTTTGAAATGTGCAGCTAAAAGATAAAGAAAGGTTTTACAGGGGTTTTAATGTTTTTGGTCTGGTTTTCCCTTGCATTGTATTTTTCAGGAAATGGCAGTCATGGTAGAGATTAAGGAATGCAGGTCTGTGTACATGTACTCCGAAATTCTGAAACATCAATGACAGATTTTAATAGCCAACCATTAAGCTACCTAAAGATAATTGCTCCCACAGCCTTGTGTATGTGTGAACGCAATGAATGTGTGGAAAACAACAGCCGTCGGGTATTTTCATGAATGCGCGTCATCATTGTGCAAGATGGGGATTGGACGAGCGAATGGTGTGTTCTCCACACGCTACGATCTGGCAACGAGTTCACACTCAATCCCAAGCATCGTATGTATTCCGGTTAATCATTCATCAATACTCTTAGGCAATGTCGTGCTCTGGGGATCTACGTAATAACCAGACCAAACAGATCCCGACTGTGTTTGGCATGGGTCAACAATCGGGAGTTAATTGCTGAAGTAAATGAATGGCCAATGTGAAGACGACCAAATCAAAACCAAAATTTCAAATTACAAACTGGAAGTCGCCCATATTAATATACATGTACATCAATTGTCAGATGGGGCGAATGAGCCATACATGTAGATGCAAAATGGGACTCATAGAAGGTACATGTATTTCACCGAGTCTCCACTTTTTGGTGTTTGGGTTTATTGTTGTGGGGCCAAGGATACAGAGGTACATGTAGTCCTGTAGACTGGCCTCCAGTCTGGGGCTAGTCTGGGGCTAGACAAAACTGCACTATACAGAACATGCCATTTATCATTTATCCACATTTATCTCTTCCTTTTGTAGGTATATACTCTCAAACGTTACTTATTTGGAAAATAAATGAATGAATTGAACTCCAGTAAATTAAAAAGCATGCCTGAAAAGAGAATGTGCATAGATCTTGACTAGACTTTTCGGCTGAACCTCCCAGTCCTGGACGTGATTTTTTCTTCCATACCACATATTTGCTATGGTCCCACAGAGTCGTGCACAAAATGGTCATACATGATGTATGACATTCAAAGGTCAAAAGATACAAAATCGGCACCTGAATTACAAGCGTTGTGTACGTGCAGGATTTGTGTTCATGTATACACCAACATGCATAGGTTTACATCAGCAAGAACTTGAACTCAGTCGGCTTCATGAAGATTGTGCATGAAGTAATGAAGTCTTCAGTACCCACACTGGCATTTAGGCCCATTGTTTAGCCCCAGGGGCAGATCCAAGGGGCTTAGGGGGTTAGGGCTCGGAGACGCATAGCCTTTGATAAAGGTGCCCGTGGCAAAATGAATAGTCGCTCAAGAGCGAGGCGCTGGAGGAGACTAGTTTAAGCACCAAACCAATGCACAAAGAAAGACTACACAACGAACCGCACGCACGGCTTTGGAGTTCTGCCCCACGTAGCAAATGTTTTTCTTTACATTTGCTATCGTTTCGGCAGCAAAGCTTGCCCGGCAATGCCCGCCTTTCTTCTCCCTAGCGCGGCGTCAATAGAAACAAGGCAACCCGCGCATTTACATTCGGCTCGGTAAAATGGCCGCTATTTCATACAAAGGTGTTGCAAGTCCAACTTTTTTATAGGCCTAGGCCTACGACCGGCGTCGGTGCCTTCAGCACGTTTAGTCAAAAATTTAAGGCGTCTAAGGAAAGACCTTCACTCCACATTTCATACTTACCTAAATATGTGGACATGACAAAACATAAACTTTACGATAGCAGTGCTGGGAGTCATTTCGTAAATTAATGTACATTGTACGTGTAAACAGTTTAGACTTGAAAAATGCAAGAATTTAGAATTCAGCGTAACGCGCACTTGTCTCTGGTAGCTAGAAACAGCGCCCTCATGTGACGTGTCTCCAATCTCTGAACGAAAAAGGGCGCTGTAAAGGTCAATCCCCCCCCCCATGAACGAGCCAGCCTGAGGTTGACCCTGAGCTTCAAGATTCCATGGATAGGATAAAAAACGTCCAAAGATTTCATAATTTGTGTGTGTGTGTGTGTGTTTTTTCGTTCAGTTACATCCTAAAATCCAGCTCGGAAAAAGGGCGTTGGAAAATATTTGGTAGTAAATCAATTTATGGCAACTAAAATTTACCTGACCTAAAAGACAATTAAACCCTACCAAAAAGTGACCCAGCACTTCCAAAAATCTAAAATACATGAAGAACAGTCCAATGCTGTGGTCTTGCATGCAGATGAACATTTACAGTTTGAAATTTTACGGAAGTCTGTCGGAAAACGCCGAAATAAAAAACCCAGATTTTGATGGGCTTTGTTAATGTATAAAGTAATAAAAAATAAAGCAATAATTGCTGACAGCAACTGCCCCCTGATCCCAACTCAACGGAATCTGGAACCCATCGACTTTAGGTAGGCAAATCTTTAATTTGCAACGTTGAACAATTTCGTTTTCACTCAAGCACGGGGAGTGAAAACAAACGTACATATGAACAAGGAGACCTTTAAATTAAAATTACCTGAGGAAGACAACGGTAAAATTCCAACATGAGTGTTTCATGGGATGGTTTTAGTTAGGAATTATTTGTTCCATAAATCATCAAACGTGAAAGGACAGCCCAATTTAAAATCCCCATAAGCAGACCTCAGGAGCCTTCTGGAATCTCGCTGAGGCTTTTACTTTCAGGCTGTAACTTCACTGTCATTCTCCGCGGCTATGATTACCTGATGCTGTAGAGCCAGCAACGTTCCACTGGACACTACGTGAGCGGGGATGTGAGAAAAAAACTTGGCGAAGTAATCGAGCGCCTGCAAGTCCAATAATCTCTCCGCTTTCTAAACTACAACTTCTATTAATTGAACTACCTTGGCAATCCAATTACAAATTTAAGGCATTAAGGGTGATGTAATGTATGAATATGAAAGAAATCATGACTGAAACAAGTTGGGAGATTAAAATAAAATAGCTCTGACTAAAAAGGAGTGATGTACTAGTATCTCATGATGTCAGGTCTCTTGGAGAAAAATGTAAAGAAAATAAAAAAAATCGTGCGCATCATTACGTAGCCTACATGTATATACTTAGCAACGTTTTATGCCTTGTTCAACAGTCTCCCAACAAGCAAGGGTTAATGGTTAATTTCTTTCCAATTTTCCATGATATTTCCTCCAAATTTTTGACTGGTTCCCTATTAGCAATACAAGCTATTCGAAGAGCGACTGTCATCGTGCAGCTGAGGTAAATTCACAGCAAGCCTACACTGACGATATACATGTACCAACGAAAGATATGGGACAGCTGCCTGTTTTACCGGTTCAGTTTTTGTTTTCCTTGTTTATTTAAATAATATAGGGTGCTCCGTCATTGGCAAGAGGAGAGGGGCAGAGCCACGTCTGGTGCTGTAAGGGGTTGATCTCCGGTTCCTGTTGCCCCATGGCTTGAATTTCATATTATTTTACGGCTGGTGCGCGGCAGGTACTATTTCCATTTGTGCGACTTGTTCAATAAAAAGTGCTACAAAGGCGCAATTTATCAATGGTTTTACACAATGAACACTGAGGAATGAGTGTTGAATCGTAATAAATGCTTTGATGGCCTCGGTAGTTGAATAGTATGAGAAAACCTCTCGGGAACACGGGCAAATGCTTTGCTTTCCCCAAAGTGTTGTGTAAAGATTAAAACCACATCCTAGAATTCACATCCTAAAATCTCAACGCACACAACAACTTTTACAATTTCTTATTTGAACGGGAAGAGTAAAATGACGATGACTGAGTCCGAGAGCCAAAATGTAAATGGAATATTCCAAGTTGACAAATTCCAAATTGAAATAGAGCTGGATTCAGCCAGGATGCAGCCTTGTCATGCTACATGACAATTTGCAATGCTCCCGAAGTGCTAAAAATGCTATTTCCCTGATACCTGCTAGTCGACTTTTTGTTGTATTTTTATGAGACCTCATCATCCTCACTTGTAGACTCATCCATTGTATTCGGTATACGCTATGTGCCAGGAACCCTGATGCAAATTCGAAAACATTCAGGCAATGAAGACATCAAATCGATTTTAAGATTTGAGCTACAATGGTAAACGCCGAGTTGTGCATTCGTTATGCCATTTCAAAGTTTTATTCAAACTTTCTATTACACACATTTTAAAAAGAAATAAATGAAATTATTCGATATTTGTGGACTGGGAAATAAACGACGGCAACGGGTGTGGCTAATAATTGAAACAATCATTCAACTGAGCTCCTGTCAACTAGAGGGGCACAATAGAGGGCGCTGTGCCGTAGAAGCCACGAAGGGCATTCGCGGGTTTGTTTCGTTCTCAATGAATAACAATTGTTTCTAGAGCGTCACAGAGCGTCGACAGCTACCAACACACGTATTTTATCTGAGACCCTTACCTACTACTGAACAACTTTGCACGAAGGAGTGTTATTTTTTGACATTTTCCCATCGACAGGTAAGGTGGATATTGTAAACTTATTTACGTAGGGTTTTTCAGACACATTATTTTCAAAATTGCACAAGGGCGTGCTTTGATACATATACGATGGTAAAGGTAAAAAAAAAGAAGTAATAGAAAGAAACAAATTCAATCAATCAAAAAGAACGAACATTCGCAGAATGAAAGAAGGGACAACACGATTGAAAACTAATTCTTCGTTCGAATCGATGGATTTGAGGGCATACAGGGGTTAGATATTTCCCGGGGGTTGACATGTAAACCAGAACACATGAAGAAGACAAAATCTCCATTTCATGTACATGGTGAAATAATTCAGGAGCAGACATAATTAAATTTATTTTCAAGTCAATTTCAGATATCCATTTATTTCGTTTTATAGATATTTAGTTCTGAGTAACGTATACACGGTGGCTGATGTAAATGGAACTGATTCGATAGGGCGTAAGATCGAATATTTGTGGTTTTATGAAGACGTAAGAAAGTTTGTTACAAAGGAAGAATTGTGAGTGAGGGAGTAATTGGTGTTTGGGTTCTTGAATACGTATGTACATGTATTCGACGTCTAAATGGCATTCAGAGACTTAGGACGGGTCTACATGATGACCAATCACCTATTCTTAGATGCCAGTGGTTGACAAGCTAAAAGTTCTCATGCGCATGCGTGCAGATAACGCCCAGGCTGGTCTGGATCATCATAACCATTATAAAAAATATCATCAATGCAAGTTGTTTCACACTGCAAACTTCATCGTCTCATTGTCTCGTCGTCATCGTCGTTTCATTTTGGAGCAACCACTCGACTGAAAACCAAAGTAAGTTGTACGAACGTTTACTGTTAGTGTTTACAATCCGGTTGCCTATGGAGAAATTGCTACTTAAATCCACATATCCTACAACCAAATCTACTTATATACGACAGTAAGACAGAAACAATTCTTTTTTTTTCCATTTGGCTCATCGAATTAGTTAGTATTGTACGGCTATCTTAGTACAAACTACTGATACTGCCGGTAATCACGAAAATCCGAGTACCGCGTCAAGCACAAGTACACGACGTATACCCAACGTTTAGTATCTGGACCTTCAAACATGTATGTGTAGGTCGTGTCCACAATTTAAATGTAGAACTTTCAATCGATGAGTTTTTAGGATGTACTTGAGAGCTTCCAGCATGCAATGACTGGAAACTGTAACAGCTGATTCAGCAGAGCATGTTGTAGAATTTTGGCGCCGACTTTGAGGTTTGTGGAAGCTAATTCTACCGTACACGTTGAACTTCTGGGCAATAATTACCAGTAAAGGACAGCGGCAGTTATCTGTTTCGAAGATGGCCCAGTCCATACCCAGTCGAGATTCTGACTCAGTACCATTTACATGTAGTGTATTTTTAAATCTTCTAAATGGAGAAAATGGGAGACCCGAGTTCTAACCGTTTTTCCTGATATTTATCTTCCAAAGATGTAAAAATGAGATTTTCTTTAGTCATCTCTCTCGGAAATATTTCTTTTCCCTATTTCTCATATCTTGGAAAGACGTCTTCTCCAGACAGGATATCCTGGAAAGACGTCTTTTGAAGATTTAATATGCGGCATTTTTCAGTATTACCTCCTTACGAAATAAATTATCAATTGAACTCAAATGGTCTCCTTATGCTTCCGTGGATAAATGACCAGAATGGGTCAAGGAAAAGAGTTCATAATAAACCAAACTCCTGTTCATATTGCGACGTGAAAAGATTTTAAAGTGTGTTGTTAATAACCAGCTAAAAGTAAAACAAACAAGCAGACATAAAGATTTCGCCCGTGTTTCACGATAATCTTGCTCAGGTATCCAGGCCATTAAAGCATTTTACTGAAACTCAATGTAATATCCATGCATTAAAATTGCTCGTGAATCGCACCTTTCCTAACCTTCATAACCATCACACATCACATTTGCTCAGTTTACATTCTCTCAGTACGAACCTTCTGGAGAACTGGAACTTGAGCAAAATTACAGATGAAATTGACTTTGAAATAGAAGATTGAGGCATCCATCCGCACTGTACACATTATAAAATAAAATATGTCCCTAAGAAAGCTACGAAAAACAGTGCACAAAAATAAAGTACTTCCTGTTTTATACCAAGTCCATCTGTCTCTGAGTTATTAAATGATATCTAATCCAGTAATTGATAACATTAGGATATCAATATGTCGTTTGGCTACTGTAATAACAAAAATTGTTGTTACTCAGCGTGGGTGAAGATCACCAATGAATGTGTATTTAAGTGCAAAGTGACAGCTGGTCCGACCAGCTTTGGACGGCTGTTGTTTTTGATAGAACAAGGCACGAGGGGGGGGTCCGTCGAAGAAGGGAATCGGAAAAGGGAAGTCCAGTGTCTGAGAAAAGATTGAAGATGATGACCCAAACGTTGCTGAGTACACGATGTGCGCACATTTGTTTCATTCAGTGATAAAGACTTTCCAGAAAGACCTGTCCCTAAAATGTATCAAACCTTTATACATGTACTTTAACAAATTAAGATATTTGTCAATGTTATGTCTAGGTCTGATAACTTGTTTCAAGTTTGTACATCTGCAAAGCTACAAAGGGAAATTCTTGAGTGATTTCTGGAGCTTTAAATAAAGGATCCTAGTATATGGATGACCTTTTCTTGTACAGTTTAATTCCTCATGGTTGTATTCTGGTACAAACTAGGAAAAAATGCATCTCACTTCTTTATGTGTATGTAAACACAAAAGTGAGTGACAAAACGCATCTTCTTTTAGATGCTTTTCGAACAGTTTAGGATATTGAAGTTTAACTGTTGCTACCTTTCTCCAGAGACTGATTTTCGTACTTTGCGCTAGTCTACTACCAACAGAAAACCATGAAGACCTTCGTTTTCAACGTGATTATTTTGTCAGTGTTGTGTAAGTAAACCAGCTATCAGTCAATAATAAATCAATACACTTAATAATACAATGTAACCCGTTTTAGTTTACGATATTCTGGTTGCCTTTAGTTTGAAATGTTGAATAATAACGAGCGTTTTCTTCTTGAGGTAATTTTTGCGAAGCAGTTTTTTTGTGACTCACAGGAAAAAGCAATAACAGAGAGATCGTAATTGCGGTTCTGTTTTGATGCTTATAGTGAGTCAAATACGAATGACCGTAGTGTTGATTTTAAATGACGGAATATTTTGGATGGCAAAGCTGTTTCGTAACTGTACGATAAAGGGTGCTTAATGGAAATTTTAATTCAATCTCAGATAGTATCAGCATTTGACTTGCCTTTAAGAATTACATGGTAATCATTTTTAAATCGAAATAACCGCCTTCAGTGATGAGCTATCGCCATAATGATTGGTTTACTGTAAATTCATTTAATGATCAAGTCCAGCAATGTATATTGAAGTCAAGACTCAACACCAGCGTTAAGTGGAGATGCGTATAGTTGTACGACATTGCAATCTTTGATCTTTACATTGTTAAATTTGTCCATTGCCTTTCTAGCCACTTATGGCGTTGATGGACAATGCTACAACTGTACTCTCATCAGCATGGGTTCCATGAACACAGGAGCAGAAGGTTGTGGGAATCCGTTCGACAGCAGTGGGATCCAGACTATACCGTGTGCAGGGCCTTGCGTAGTAAGTATTCAGAAATAACACAACCAAAAGAGCAATTTTGAAGAATAATTCATCAGGGAAAGGTAGTTTTAAAGCTGTTCAAGCGATAAGAAAGTCAAGCACTGAGAAAGAAATTTTATCACAATTACATGTATTGGCATATACCTCTGGAAACACACTCCCTCACAAAAAATACACCCAGACTCCTTTCTCCCTGAACAAGATGTCAAGAATAATGAAAAATAACCTTGGTCCTTTCACTTTATTCAAATTGGCCCCTGGGACTCTACTCGATATCACCTTTTCGTTTTCTCATTTTGTATTATTCAGACAATCTATTCCGAAAGCGAGGGAGACGAGATCGTGCCTGCAGTAACTTCAACGCTTCGAACTTGTCACAACGAATATTATGGAGGTTTACCCTGTACGGACGTGACAAACTTCGAACTGTCGGGTGTGACACTCAGTCAGACCTGCTGCAGTGGTGCTCTGTGTAATGATAACGAGTTCGGTAGCCATCCAAATGAAGTGGGTGAAGTGGAAGGTGTAGATGGTGAGATGTGTGGCAATAATATCGCATTTTAGTATGCGTTATGTTTGGCCGTTAGATAGAGAGACCTAGAGTCAATTTCATGACACATGCTGGCGCTTCGTATTGAAAAGGGTCAAATTTACAATCTTTCATTTCCATGGCAAAGACAGGTATGCAGTCGATGAAAGTCAGGCGATGTTCACCGGTAAACACGTGGCCTGGTCAAGTGTCGTCTGTGGATGTTAGATATAGATATGAATGTATTGTTGATGGCTACTTTTCAATGGATTGCATGTATTCTGCTCGACGGATGAGGATTACCAAACAAAAGTTAAACATTGAAATGAATCTTCAAATCAAAAATCAAACAATTTGGGGTTCATAGTACAGCCACGCTTCTTAAGTGGATTGGAAATTTCAAATACAAATGCAAATTTGTATATAAATAATGACGTGTCATAATGATGTTATGCCAGTATTCAGAATTAAATATCCGTAAAAAAATATGGTCATCTGAAATGAAATTGACGTGGAATTACATATAATTATTGATAAAAGTTCTGCTGGTGAATTACTTCGCCACGCACAGTGTATATGAACTTGAGGCGTTTTGTCCTCTTCTGAGCTCCTGTTTGCATTTCAACTTCTGGAAAATTTAATTCCTATAGCTCCCGATCAATGAATTTAAACACAGAGCCGTGTAGTTCATTCTTTTATGTTTTGGAAATGAAAGACTAAGCAACATTCTTTACTTTTTTATTCGATTTGTATTTACTCAATTATTTCTTTCGTTTTGAAACTGAACAGAGTTTGCGTGCCAAAGAACATGTGCATGTGACAAAAAACTTTACGGTAATATTGAGTTTCCAAGGTCAGCCTCATCTGTCGATGGAAAATATGTAAATAAACGACAATCTAAATTCATTCTTGCAAAGTTGCTGGGTAACAGGTGATCTCGAGTCTTATGAGTTGTAACAGAAGTGTGATATGCAGCCGATACTTGGTAACGTAAATGGGTTCAATTCGAGTATTCGAACTGGGCTAGGAACACTCTTGGCCATTATTGCCTCGTGACAGAACTATGTATCGAGAGAATATAGCACCAACTTCGAAATGTGGAACCAAAATGGTTGTTCATTATGTGTACAGAACAATATTAACTGTCTGTGTGCAGTGAGGCTTAATCAACCATTTGGTTCTGACAATTGACATTCATGTCCAAAAACTTTTTATAGACAGTTCTACCTCCTGACACAGAGTGCCCTCTCTTGTGTCTCCACTGATACATCAAAGCTTATTAGAATAAACATTTTCAAAATGTTGCAGTAAACATTCAACCCCATCGTAAAGTGGAGATGAGTAGTTGTGCGACAATGCCTTCTTCGTTCTTTACATTGTTAAATTTACCCATTGCCTTTCTAGACACTTATGGCGTTGATGGACAATGCTACAACTGTACTCTCATCAGCATGGGTTACATGAACATAGGAGAAGAAGGTTGTGGGAATCCGTTCGACAGCAGTGGGATCCAGACTATACCGTGTGCAGGGCCTTGCGTAGTAAGTATTCAGAAATAACACAACCAAGAGCAATTTTGAAGAATAATTCATCAGGGAAAGGTAGTTTTATTTAAGCTGTTCAGCGATAAGAAAGTCAAGCACTGAGAAAGAAATTTTATCACAGTTTCATGTATTGGCATTACATCTGAAAAACACTTCCTAAGTATATATACTGAAGGATGTGCTCATCAGAAACCCAAAATTATAAAGCCTTTCATAATGGTTGACCAAAAGATACACCCAGACTCCTTTCTCCCAGAACAAGATGACAAGAAAAATAACCTTGTAGATAGTAATTACGTGCATTCTCACTTTATTTAAACTGGCACCTGAGACTCTACTCCATATCACCTTTTTGTTTTCTCATTTTTATTATGAAGACAATCTATTCGCAAAGCGAGGGGAACGAGGACGTGCCTCCGGTAACTTCAACGTTTCGTAGTTGTTACGACGACCACTTTGGAGGTTTACCCTGTACGGACGTGACGGATCTCGAACTTTCGGGCGCGACATTTAGTCAGACCTGCTGCAGTGGTGCTCTGTGTAATGATAACGAGTTCGGTAGCCATCCAAATGAAGTGGGTGAAGTGGAAGGTGTAGATGGTGAAATGTGTGGCAATAATATCGCATTTTAGTATGCGTTATGTTTGGCCGTTAGATAGAGAGACCTAGAGTCAATTTCATGACACATGATGGCGCTTCGTATAGAAAAGGGTCAAATTTACAATCTTTCATTTCCATGGCAAAGACAGGTATGCAGTCGATGAAAGTCAGGTGATGTTCACCGTTAAAGACGTGGCTTTGTGATGCGTTGTCTGTGCGTGGCATTGGGCTCTGGCTGTCTCTCATGCTATTCAGATAGGCGTGAAGTTATACGCTATTTCTTCAGTTTAAATCCTTCATTCAGCGATAGTAAAAATAAGGCAATGCATGTAAAGTGTAGATATGCATGTACTGTTTATTGCTACTTTTCAGTGGATTGTACTATAGATTCTGGTCGATGGACGAGGATTACCAAACAAAAAATGAAACATTGAAATGACTCTTCAAATCAAAAATCAAACAATTCGGATTTCATTGCACAGCCACGTTTCAGCAGTGGACTGGCAATTTCGATAAAAATACAAATTTGTAATGACGTGTCATAATTGTTAGCCGGTGTTCATACATAAATAACATCCGTAAAAAGGAAAATTGTTATCTGCAATGAAACTGACATAAAATTAAACATGACAATGTTCGGCTGGTTAATTACTTCGCCACGCACAGTGTATATGAATGAGTCGTTTTGTCCTTTTCGAAGGTACAATGTTAATGGTCCTTGTGCACTATCACTTAATCAACCATTTTGGCTCCAACAAATGAGACACTCGTCTCCACTGATTTTTTCTTTAAACAGGTTGGCCTCCTGACACTGTAATGCCCTCTCTTGTGTCTTCGATACTATACCTGAGCTTTTAATAATAATTCGTTTCGATTTGCATAAATAATTCTTGATAACTACTCCGAAAATATTACAATATATCAAACTGATGTACGTCTTCTCTAGTGCTCAATAATCGATTATTATTAGAAAGTGTACCTTGTGTGCCAAACAGTTTGCCTGAATAAAAGAAATGAAAATGCATAACTCAGTGTTTTCTGTTATTGAAAAACAAAACCAATGTCGTTTATTAGTCACAACATGATTGTTGTCGAATTCAGACCCAAGCAACATCATAAATAAAAAGCCACCCAAAGGCAAAGATCGAGCCTACATCGAGATCGAGTCCGATGTGAGGGCGGTGAGGGTTAAGCAAACATATTGATCAATGATCCTACGTGGCAATAAAAGCTTAATAGCATGTGCAGATAGAGGGGTGTGTGTGTGAAATACCCGGCGCTGTGAAAAAGGGAATAAAAATTGTGAAAATAATAAAAGCGTACTAATGTAAGTGCAATCATGTCATTGTTAACAACGCATAATCCGACCTGATCACCCCCACCCCCCAAAAAAGTTCCTTGATCCGTCCCTGCATATTAGCCCAATTTTCCCTGCAGGAAACGTGAACTTTTCAGTGGTATTTCCAGATAGGTTTGGGCTCTTGGATTTTGTAATTTGTTTGATTTTGAATTACTTTTTTCTTCTTCCTTGACTTGGTTTGTATATACATGCCTAATATTTTTTGGTGGTATCTGTTTTGAGCAGAAGCCCCCCCCCTCAGAAAGAGCCGCCTTGATGGGAGGTTTTCTTTTTTTTTTTCTTTTCTTTTTTTGGTTGGTTGCGACACGACTGCAACGCTTGCGTTTCCTAGTCGTTTTTAAACCAGCGACGCGAAGCGAGTACCAAAAGGAGCCACCCGTGGCCAAGGAAATAGCGCCCTCTTTTGGTCCAGCTCGAGCCTCCACAATCCAATCTAAAAGCGTAGTCCCAATGGTGGTGCAAAATGGGGAATACAGTTTACTTTACCCATGTGTATCTAAGTTATAGGTTATTTCTGTAAAGTGGCACTATGACTTCTGAATAAATAGTCATCATGCGAAAAAACTATGGTCCATTCTGCTAATTTTTCAAAAATTTCCCACGTTTGGTGGCGCCACGCAGAAATGCTTTTTTGATCACGTTCCATCGTGGAAACGAAAAACGCCATGACCTTGCAGGATCAGGACCTGGTTTCGTGGATATGTTTTGGTACAAAGGCCCGCACGCCTGAGCTGCAAGCCTAGCCAAGCCGGACACTTTTTTCGGAATAAAAAAAACAACATTACAAAACACTGAAAACATCTGTCTTTCACTCTGAACTTACCAGGCCATATTTATCAACTAAATAATCTTGGTCTCCCTCACCGCCCGGCCTCATTCACCAGCGGCGGCCCCATCGTCAGCCCGATCGGGATTCCGTCTGCGCTCTGGGGCTCATTGGGTTTAAAGCGGTAAGGCTCTGTGCGTTGTACTTGGGACAGTGTATAAGTGTAACTACACACGGGTTACTCTACTATGTGTATTTTATGTGCATTGACGTGACCCCGCCCGTTCGGTGCATACATGCACCAGCCAGAGAACCGTTTCTCAAGGTGCTACGCCGACAAATTCTGGAAAAGCCGTATTCATGAGATGTAAATGAAGCGAAGACGGCAAGCTCCTTTCAGGAAAGCTAACCATGGCGCTCAGCAGATGCAGAAATGGGTGTCAAAAGTGAGTTTTTTAAACCAAGCATACTGCTGAATCCGGGTTTATGTTTTCTTCCACCGTTGGGGTCGCTCTTTAATGTACATGTATATTGTATATTACCAGTTACTGGTCTTACACCTTTCGGGAACATCGAAATCAACAGTGCTCTCACATTAGTGCTCAGTACTGAGAAAGAGGGGGATAAATTAAGGCAGAACGTTTGTGATAATGAAGAAGTTGCAGTATGGGAAGTATATGCTAATGAGTACGAGGCATGGCACGCAACAGAGCAATTGAGTGAATGAGAGGAGAGAGATTTTCATGAGGCCGATATGGAACTGATTTGTGGTTGGATGAAGATGTACGAAAATTTGGTACAAAGGAAGAATTTTGAATGGACAAGATTGGAAAGCCCTATCAAAAGAAAAATACTAGAATTGTGGGTATTTTTGAGTGGCAGTGGCAATGATGTGCGTAACTCATACATAGATAAACCATAAGAAGCATCAGTCATCTTAACTTGTGCCCAACGAGAACTTGTTTTGATCAACATGCACACCACACTCATTGCAAGCTTCCTAACAGGAAGTGATAACCTCGCGGTCACAGGTTCTGCATAATGTAGCAAATCTTAGTGCAAAGCCATCAGCTCTTGCCAGCACCCTGTTCGAGTGTGGGCGGCAAGGGAATACATATCTACAAGCCGAAAACGCTTATGAACAACAAACGGTGAGGGGCCCAGTCAATTCCAGCGCTGTTAGCGGCGGCGCGTACACATAAGCACATTATGCGTGTATCATTGCTAGAATTACAAAATTGAGGGGGAAAAGAGCCGGGTCACCGCACCACATTTGGAGCCAGCCTCTGATCAGATATCGGGGCCTTTTTGGCTGTATGTTTGCTTTCCTTTAGCATGCCCTGGTCATTTATCTACGGAAGCTTTTAGAGACCGTCCCAGTTTCCAATTTTCTTTGATAATTTATCTCGGAAAGAGGGATACTGAGGTTATTTTTAAGACGTCTTTCCCAGATATATCAAGTAGGAAAAACGTCTTTGTTGGATATCGTATCTGGAGAATACGTCTTCCCAAGACATTACAACAGGGAAAAGAAATATTTCTGAGAATCCGTATCAAGGGGGAGACGACTGAAAAAATCTCATTATTCCATTTTTCTACGATAAATATTAGAATAACTTGGAATTCGTGTGGTCACACTTCAGAGTCTAACATTTTCTTGAGTCAGACGATAAAAAATAAAATACTGGTCAATTGTGCAGGTTAACGGTAATTCCTGAACCAGACATTACATTTTCCAGTCACTACAATTTGGCTTCTCTTAACTACTTCGTAAAAAACATCGATCGAAAGGTCTAGAGCTACATACGGTTTAAATTGTTGACTCAATATATACTTGAAGGTTCCAATATTTGACTTTGGGTAAACGAGTACGTTTTCTTGACGACCAACACGGATTTTCGTCATCACAGGTCACACAAGACAGTATCCTGCAATTTGTACTTAGAGAGCAGTACAGCAGTTAGTACCAAACTCAGTCCATAAGCCAAATAAAAAAGAAAAGAATGAGTTTGTCTTACTTTTAAATGTGAATGGATTCGGTTGTCGCTAAATTGGCTTTAAAAGTAGCAATTTCTCGTAAGCTAACCATATTGTAAACATAACCAGAAAACATTTTTATAACTTACTTTGGTTTTCAGTCCGATGGTTGTTTCAAAACGAAACAATGATGATGATGAGCCGATGAAGTTTATAGTGAGAAACAACTTGGTGATACTTTTTTATAATGGTTACGATGATCCAGACCAGTCTGGGCGTTATCTGCACGCATGCACATGGGAACTTTTTACTCGTCAACTACTGGCATCTGAGAATAGGTGATTGGTCCTCGTAGACTTGTTTCCAGTCTCTGAATTGCTGTTCTTGAGTCGAATACATACGTACTCACGATCCCGAATACAAAATTGCATGAGGAAATGACAGACCTTTCTTAAGGACCCCGGTGCTATCAAAGTTATCGTCACAGTCGGATGGCCCTTTAATTATCTCACCCATGGCAGATACACACACTTTCCATCAACTGTACCATTAACTATAGAAAGAACTGAAGAATTTGAAGCAACCAAGCAAGAAAGTTATTTGGCTATAAACTAGAGGATAGCCAAAAAACGAAGAGAAAACAGCGAACTACTTGACTCCGTTAACGACGGCAGGTGCAGGATAGGAATGGCCGTCTTGAATTTGTCGCTTCACTACGCCCTAACCCGTGCATGCTTGGCTAAGCACCAACAATACACATTGCCTGGGCTATGTAAGAAAGGAATTCCTATGACATGTGGAGAAGTATTAGTCAACTGAATTCACGGAGCGCGGAATTTGGTTGGTTACGTTACACTAACCGACCGACAAATTGTTTTCCCAATTTCAACAAAAACTGATTTACTTTTCGTTTTGGACGAAGTGTGGAACAGTACTTTTCCTTATTTCTGAACAATAATTACTGTTGGGGCACAAATTGGGCAATTCGTGTAAAAATATCCAAGCTTGACCCCCGAGTCCTGTAAACCTTTGCTCATATTTCATTTTTTTACAGATGGTACAGGTGTCCGGGCTTTGTGCGTGGGGGATGTCTGTTTCTTATAATTATGTTAATGTCGGTTTCATCTGTACTTAACTTGCTTTCGGTTCGGGAAGCATAAAGAAGTTCATAGAGAGGGCTGCTTCCATGGCCTAGTGTGGTGTGCAAGTTGATCAATAAATAGTTCAAGATGGCGGAAAGAAAAAAATTGATGTTTTTTATTTGCCTCGAGAAGAAGCACCACCTCATCGACTGAACAGAGCCACGTTGGTTGGGAGGAATCATATATTTGGTAGCGATGCGACTGCAAGGCTTGCGTTTCCTTGTCATTCTTGCGATGCGCAGTTTGTATCAAAGGAGCCTCCGTTGCTGAGGATATAGCGCCCTCTCATGATCCAGCTGGAGGCCAACAGTTCATCCGTGTGAGTTACACACACCATCGGCCTTGACACATAAAACTCCAACAAATCTTCATATTTCCCTTTTGATAATCTTCTATTAGGGGCTCTCTCACCTTTTCCCTCATTAACAACACGGGCGTTTCCCAATAGTGCGCCCCTGAGAGTTTGCAACGCGCTGACCAATCACAGTGCGCGAAATTTGTCGATCCTTTCCAAACGCGCACTGAGTCGAAATATTTCGCGCATTTTGATTGGCCAACGCGTTGCTAACTCTTGGAAGCGCACTGTTGTAAAACGCCCTATTCTTCCTTTGTACCAAACCATTTTACATCTTCATCCAACCACAAACATTCAATCAGCCTTGCGCTGTGTCAAATCAGTCATATAAATACAACAGCCTCTTTCAGATCTGTCTTCTCTCATTCATCTGCCACTTTTTCAGTTGTCCACCCAAACCATGGCTCGTACTCATAAGAATATGCTTCCCGTGTAACTTCTTCACTATCAGACGAATCTTCCGCATACTCTCCCCGGCCCCTCTCTCTCTCGTCTCAGTATACTGACGTGAGGGCGCTTTTGATTTCGATGTTGCCAAAAGCTGTTATATTCGTTGGCTTGGACTACGTCCAGCACAAGCGTAACAAGCATAAAATGTATGACATATTTCTGGGTGGGGTCAGGCCGGAGATTGTTTTTTAATGTCTCATTTTTTTGGAGAAGCGGAAAGGATGGTGAAACATAGTACGTGACTTACATTAATTGTTTACAATGGTATTATTGCACTCACTTATGATATACAATTTAAAATTGTTTTCCCAAATTTTGTTTACTTTTTTTCTCAGAGCGGGGTGTCGAATCCCACACCCCCAGGATCAACGATCACTATTTGAATCAATATGATGGCTTCTCAATGAAATCGCTCCATGCTTAGTCCTAGATTATCGACGTCAGATGGGTTTTGAAGAATTTGTATCTATCATCAAAGCCCCCAGACATGTATCTGTGAATTCAATCCTGATGTGGACTCGATCTATGGCCTTGGGTGGACTTTTCATATGATATGATGTATGTGGGGTGCAAATTCGGCATCATTCATGATGTGAATAAACAAACAACTTTGGGTTTTGCTGTCAAAAAAATTAGGCACACTATTTCACATAAGGTACACTTTCAATTAATCATTTTTAATCGAATATTATATAGTTGAAAAGGCGTACATAATTTGTTATAGCGCAATATTTGCAGGGAAGTATCAATAATCACGCAAATCAAAATGCTTTAGTTCCGATACAATAGCTAGTCACCAGGGAGGGCGCTGCAGTGCGACACGAGATTGAGCTGTTATACAGAGAGAATTTCGAAGTGAGCGTCTAAATTGTTGGAACCAAAATGGGTGGTTATTGCGTCAAATGCACATGGACAACTAGGAAACGATGGCTGCATGTTGTACTGCACGCATAATGAACAGCCATTTTGGCTCCAAAGTTTGACGTTGGCAAAGTTGTCTAGATATACAGCTCTGTCACGAGGCAATAATTGGGCAAAAGTGTTTCTAGCCCGGTCCCAATACTTGAATTGTGCTATGGACATTACTGAGTATTGGCTGCAACAAACACTTGTTTTAGATCAGAAAAGATCTCTGGTTTCTGGTCAGGAGCTGGTTCTAAAAGTGGGGTGGTGACGTGGCTTTTTTCCCGTCATTTTTTCTTTTTTAAAAATAATGTTCATGTAAACGTGCTTGTCGTGATACAGGAATGGCGCCATCTGAAAAAGAATACCCGACTAAATGTGTGGGGTCCCAGATCTGACGACTTCCTCACTGTACATAATACTCAACTGTACCCCATTTAAAGCACGTTAAAATTACACAGTGAAGCTGGATTCAGTCGATCAAGCACGTCTGGCAGAGTTGGATATCATATTATACCAAATAATTGTTTTTTTATTTTGTCGAGCGCAGGTCTACGGCGACGCGCTCGCTGACCAGAAACGGAGACTTTTGGGGGACTTACAGCTAAGGCTCATAGCTGCTACCAAACATTTTTTTCTGTCACATTATGTTCAAAATATTGCGTGGAGGTTTTCAAACCAAAGAAATAATAAGTAAAAAGATCAAATTAAATTAAAAAATACTAATCATTACTAACTCTCTCATTCCAAAAGCATAAACGAAGAGGCTACACAATTGTGTTCGAATCGATTGATTGGGTTATAGGAATTATATTTTTTCCCGAAGTTGACATGCAAACCAAAACCTCTAAGACCTAAAAAAACGAGCGTTTTGTAAAACACTGAGGGTGTGTGGCGAGGTAATTTCACTAGCCAAAAATGTATCAATAATCACATTTAATCTCATGTCAATTTAATTTCAAATAGACCATTTTTTTCTCTTTTTGAGGATATTTAGGTATGAGTATTGGCATAAATATCAGATGTCATTAGACATTTGGAGTAAATGCAAAACCGGGACTGTGCTATAAATCCCGAATTGTTCGCTTTTTGATTTGAAGAGTCCCTTAATGTTCCATTTTGTTTAGTAATCCTCGTCCATCGAGCAGAATCCATAATATCCATTGAAAAGTAGCACTAAAACAGACATGCGTATCTGCATCTAACTTGCATTGCCATATTATTGAAATCTCTGAATTTAAGACTAAAGAAAAAGCGTCTAACTTCAGGCCTGTCTGAATAGCATGAGAGACAGCCAGAGCGCAATGCCACGCACAGACAACGCATCACAAGGCCACGTGTTTAACGGTGAACATCGCCTCACTTTCAGCGGTTTCTTATCCGTCTTTACTATGAAAAATGAAACACGGTCAATTTGGCCCATCGAGCACCATCATGCGTTATGAAATTGGCTCCAGGTCCTTCTAGCGATCTGACACATGCAATGCATACAAAACTGAGACATTACAGGATATCTATTATGCCTCTACATCTACCAAGGTAAACAGCGACCTGAAGATTACGTGGGTCATGATGAATTTAATCAGACGCAAAGGTGCACTGAAGTGGGTCAGAGTACCCAGCGAGTTGGCATTTCACCTTCATTTGTATCGACATCATCATAGCAGTGTGTTCATCACCAGGCCAGTCACTACCCGTCTCTGAATCTACACTGTCCCCATAACCCCATTCACCACTTGCCTCATCACCACAATCACCGCCCAACTCATTATCGTTACACAGTTCACCAAGGCAGCAGCTTTGACTCAAGGTCATACCCTCCCATTCAAAATTATCCAAGTCAACGCAGGGTACACCTTCCAAATCTTCGTCGTGACAAGATCGAATCGTTACTGTTATCGGAGGTACGTCTGCATCTTCTTGGATTTCCGAATAGATTGTCTGCATAGGACGTTAAATGGGCACAAAAAGATGAATTCAAGTGGAGTCTCAGGTGCTAAATTCAACCAAAGTGAGAGGACAATGCACATTACATCCAGTTGCTATCGCCAAAGCTGTTTCGGCTCGTAGCCAGAACAGCTATTGCTTTTATTAATCCTTTTTAGCTGCTTCGTTATATTGCCGAAGCAGCTATTGCTTTCGTTAAAGTTTTTGGGCTTTTCGCAATTTTGCGAAAAGGTTTTTTTTGGGGGAGGGTTTCCACAATTTTGACAAAAAGACACTCTTTGTGTTCTTTTTTCTGTTTTTTTCCCCGCAAAATAAATATCCCATGGAGTTGAAACATTGCAGAAAACAAAAAAGGACGTGTTTTAATCGAAAATTTACCTGATATGATGATGACATCACCAGATGAGGAGTTACATTACATAGTGCACGCACTCTTTAGAGCGTGTTTTTCCCTGAAGTACATGCCTTATTGGGTTGAAACCTTAGACCCGAGTAGTCATGATGAAATAATTACGTCATCAGGTTTGTGCAGTAGATTTGTTGATCAACTTAAGAAAGGAATGCAAAAAATACCTCTGTTCTGTTGGCAAACAGACAGATGACCTCTCGTTTTTTTGGGGGGGGGTTGTTTTTGTTTTGTTTTGTTTTGTTTTTGTGGTTGTTTTCGGCTTTTTCGGACTCTTCTTTGTAACGGGGACTTCGATAGTTTTTGAATATTTATTTTTTTGCCATAGGCTTTATACACGTCCTTTCACTATTATCGTGTTACTTGAATTTGTTATTTTTTCAATAAATCTGATTGACTTTATACTTTCCGACAAAACGTTCCGACAATTACTTAAGGATAGTCCAACATCATAATTGTCATGATGACGCGATCATGTGATTTATCTTTAAATTTTGAACAATGAAATTTTCCCTTATAAATATATATATAGGTTTTTTACATTTTTTCAACAAGAGGGATACTTTTGCAATGCTATCGATCTGACTGATTTGTGTCAGGGGTACACAATAAGGTCACAAGGTTTCTGTACAAGTACGTCATAATGACGTCATCGGGTAACAAGTCATATCACATTAAAGGGGCACTCTTTAAGGCACTATATCTCGAGAATTTTGTGTCTGATCGGGTTGAAACTTTGTGTAAAGCTGGAAGGGGTGGGGCTTCAGACCCAAGTTTACTTGTTGTGATTGTGACGTCATCTAGTGACAAGTCACGTGACATTAAAAGGGCACTCTTTAACGTGCTATATCTCGTGAAGTACATGCCCTATTGGATTAAATGTTTGTGTACAGCTGAAAAGGGAAGGTTTTAGACCCCGTGATGATGATGTCATCAGATGATAAATCATGTGACATTAAAGGTGCATTCTTTAAAGCCCAATATCTCGTGAAGTACATGTCATATTGGGTTGAACTTTGCAGATATAGGTAGAAAAGAAGAGTTTGAGATGGAAATTGATTTCATCTGATGGTAGTATCATTATCTGATAAGTCATATATCAAGATGACATGGATTTCATTTCCAGTTTGGGCCATTATATTCTAATTTTATTCAATGATTTTTTCGAAACCTTTTAAACCGCAGCAGCTCCGTGGTTGCCCACAACCACGGTCCTCTCTCGTTTTCCTTTCTTTTTTCCATTTTCAGACACGTTTTGTGTTCTCATAGGACATCAATAATTTCATACATTTGATCGACTTCAAATCTGACAGACCTTCAGACAATCATCCAAGGATGGTCCTGGAATAAATTTGTCATGATGACGTCATTGCGTGATTTGAATTTTGAATATTTAATATTTTGCCCGAGGGTTTGTACACGTTTTTCTACTACACACTATTATCGAGCTCAATGGGCGGCGGGGTAGTCCTAAACTTCGACCGAGAATACTACCAGAACAAAAGAGAAATTAGACTAAATTTTCCCTTTCTTTCGATTATGAATATATCCAAGAGTCAGAATATTAAGTAATGTATCATAAACAGTGTACAGTTTAAGCGCAAATCACGTGACCTGAACTTAAAGGAGCAGTTATTCTGCATATGTGTTTTGAGCCCGTTGACTTTGTACATGTTTTCAAGCCACCATTATGGTAACTTCGCGATATTTGATCGTTATCAAGGTGATAGCAAACAAAGACCCTGATACAACAATAATTCCAAATGGATGACCTCATGATGATGTCATTATCTGACTTATTATTGATTTTCCAATATTTATGTCAGCCCATTGACATGTCAATGGGCTAAAGCCCATTCGTTTTGTACATGTTCTCATGCCACCAATATGGTAACTTCGCGATGTTTGATCGTTATCAAGGTATAGCCAACAAAGACCCTGATACTAGAATTATTCCAAATGGATGACCTCATGATGACGTCATCATCTGATTTATTATTGATTTTTCAATGTTTTTTTCGGCACATTGACTTTGTTCAGTTTTCAAGCTACCATTTTGGTGACTTTATGGTGTTTGATCGTTATCAACGTTTTAGCCTACAAAGACCCTGATACAAAAATTATTCCAGATTCATGACGTCATCATGATGTCATCTCTTTTTTTTTCAAAAGATTTTTGTACTTCTTTTTCCTCATTGAACGCCTTGAAATCCGAAACACCTCTGCATGGTTGTTGCTTTAACAACCACTACCTGTCGTTTTTTATCATTCCTGTCATCTCAATCTGGTTGTTAGACCATACGAAAGTCTTTGTTGTTTGGGGGTTTTCATGGATATTCTGAGGAAATGTGTTTCAGACGTAACTCAAATAAAAAATTATCATAGCTGGAAGGCCTTTCCTTGATGAACAACTTCACGAAGAACGTTACCCTGCTTCAGTTAGCAATTTTCTAAATACTTACTTTGCAAGGTCCTGTACATGGTACAGTCTGGATCCCCCAGCCGTCGAACGGATTCCCACAACTTTGTTGTCCTTCTTGTATATCACCAATACTGGTGAGAGTACAGTCGTAGCATCGTCCATCAGCGTCATATGTGGCTAGAAAGACAATCGACAACATGTAACAAAGAAAAAGTGGTAGAATGTATTGTCGTATGACTACACATCTCCACTTTTACACTGATGATGAATGTTGACTTCAACATGCTACGGGGAGTTACATTTTTTAACTAATCATTAAATGATTTTTACAGTAAACCAAATAAAGGTGATAACTGATCAACGATGCCAGTTGTAGCGATTAAAAAGTGATTACCACGTATTACGCCGATTTTTGTGTCCATGTCCGCAACGGCTTAAAAATTGCATATGGAAAATGGACCGATCAAGAAGGGGACGTTGGGGCTACTGGACCACTTCAGTACATTCTTGATTCTAACCATTATTCAATAATCCAGGAAAGGATACAACTACTCTTAAAACATGACCAAAACACATGTTTATTTATTGCAAACAGCTGAAACCAATTACATTAATAAAACTTATGGATATTAGCTTATTCAAAATTCATGTAAAAGTAAACCACTGGCCCAACACCTGGGGCAAGTTTACCACATCATAAAACTTTAAAACTTGCCACCAAAAAGAACGAAATGAATGTTGGAAATAGTACATTGATAATAAAACACTGAAATTGGCAATCGTAATTATCTCAGAAGCCCCAGAGTTCAATTTTAAAAATTTATTAGAAAATTCCTATACCTTTCCTCCAGTCAGGTAATTTCTGGTTTGGGGGATGTTAAGCTAAGTATGGAGCTAGATGGTTTGGGCATTTTTATTATCCTAAATGATTTGAAGTTTATTTTTTAATATTTTTCACTCAGGCCTCAATTTATGTTCATCTTCACCTTAAAAAAATAAACAAAATTGTTTAAACACAACTGGTCAATTTCAAAACCTTATAATTTATTTGGTCTAAGAGTGGGCCAGTTGTCCCGATGACCCACTTGTCCCACCCTCCCCTATAAGCTCAACTTACTGCGCACGTGAGCACCTATAGCACGCTCTCTTCTGCAATACCACACCATAGGTTCCAGCCACGCGCAAGATGCGCGCGTGCATAATTCACTGCTGCGATTGGTCAGAAAACAATGAGATGGGTCTTAATGACTTGGTCTATTCAGCAGCAGCATCTGACATTAAGCCAAACATCCATCATCATCCAGCATTTGAGACTCATATAAAAGAGCTTTATCAACAAAACAAATGCATGCAGTAATCGATCTGAGACCTAGGGATCTCTGAAAGAGCCAGCCGACTTGTTATGATCCCGACCTATTATTTTCTCTGGATGACGACATCACACCTGTGATGTCGTCATCCTGAGATAATTTATGACGGGACGACAACATCCAGCAAGTATGATGTCGACTTGACAACACACTTTTCCCATGGTGAACATAGTCAGTTACAGAGGTGTGAAAACCAGCAGCGTGGACTGATGTTTCTTTACGATGCCTCGTTAATCCTAAGTTAGGCCGGTAGGCCGATCTGATTTGCTCACTTTCTCGTACTTTTCACTCATAAAACGGATGCGATATTTTGCGACGTCGTCATCCCGTGATAAATCTCAGGATGTCGACATCGTGCTTGTAGGATTTTGTCATCTCAACAAGTCGAATGGCACGTCTAGAGCTCCGTTATGACCGACAAATGGTGTACTTACACAACACTGACACCAAAATCACGCTGAAAATGAAGGTCTTCATTGTTTTCAAATGTGGAAGTGCACGAAGTACGAAAGCTAATCTGCGCAGAAAAGTTACAAGAGTTAAAGTTCAGAAGCCCAAAATGTTTGGACAACATTTGAAAGGAGATCGGTATTCATCTGTTACTTTTTGTTTTTTACTCTCAGAAGCAAAATTACATATCTTCAAGAACAGAGATTTTTTCACTTTAGTATAAACTTATAATGAATGAAAATTCAGAAGAAAAAGATAGTCATGTTTTGGATGCCTTTATTAAAAGCTTCAGAAACAAAAATCAAGAACTACCCTTAGCATTGCAGTGTACAAAATTGGGCAGACCTAAAAATAACATTGACAAATATTTTGATATTTTAAAGTACAAAGGTTTGATGCATCGGGACAGCTCTTTCTCGAAAAATCTTCATCATTGAATTAAACAAATGAACGCACAGCGTGTACTCAGCAACGTTTGCATCATCTTCAGCCGTTTCTCACACATTGAACACACATCTTTTCCGATTCCCACTATATTTTTCCCTTCTTCGTCGGAGCCCCCCCCTCGTTTAAAAACAACAGCCGTCCAAAGACCAGCTGTCAATTTGCAGCTAAATACATTTTTCATTGGTGATCTTCACCCACGCTAAGTAACAAAAGTTGTTATTACAGTAGCCAAACGACATATCGATATCCTAATGTTATCAATTACTGGATCAGATATCATTTAAAAACTCTCAGACAGATGGACTTGGTATAAAACAGGAAGCACTTTATCTTTGTGCACTGTTTTTCTTAGCTTTCTTATTTTATTGTATAACGTGTACAATACGCGTGGATGCCTCAATGTTATATTTCAGGGTCAATTTCATCTGTAATTATGCTTCCAGCTCAGGTTCTCCAGAATGCTCGTACTAAGAGAATGTTAATTAAGCAATGTGATGTACAAATAATATTGATGGATAAAAAGGTAAGGAAAGGCGCGATTCATGAGCATTATAATGCATGGATATTCTGAGGAATTATGTTACATTGAGTTTCAGTAAAATGCTTTAATGGCCTGGATACCTGAGCAAGATTATCGTGAAACACGGGCGAAATCTTTGACTTTATGTCTGCTTGTGTCTTTTCCTTTTCGCCCTATTATAAACACACTTTAACTTCTTTTCACGTCGCCATCTGAAAAGGGGTTTGGTTGAGCCGTATCAGGGAAAGATGACCGAAAAAAATCTCATTATTCCATCTTCCTAAGATAAATATCAGAGAAACTTTTAGAACTCGTGTATCACACTTTCTACAGCCAGAAGATTTAAAAATACAATCCATGTAAATGGTACTGGATAAGGGTACTGAGTCAGCAAGAACCTCGACCGGGTATGGACTGGGTCATCTTCGAAACAGATCACTCCGCTAAAATACTGGTGCATGTGATTATTGCGCAAAAGTTCAACGTGTATGGTAGAATTAGCTTCCGAAACCTCAAAGTCGGCACCAAAATTCTACAACATGCTCTGCTGAATCGGCTGTTACAGTTTCCAGTCCTTACATGCTGACTACTCTTAAAAGAACTTCCGAAAATACATCGATTGAAAGTTCTACATGTGATTAAAATTGTGGAGTCCACTTACGAATAATTGTATTCAAAGGTCCGAATACCTGAAGTTGTCGAGATACTCGGATTTCAACCGGGAGTTTGTGTCTGTCTAACTTCAGTATATAATTCTATTTGGTTGTAGCTAATCTGCCTTTGTTTAGCAATTTCTTTGTATAGTTAACCAGATTGTATAAAACACTAACAGTAAACGTTCGCAGAACTTACTTTGGTTTTCAGTCCAGTGGTTGCTCCAAAACGAAACGACGATGACGACGAGACGATGAAGTTTAAAGTGTGCAACAACTTGATGATACATTTTATAATGGTAACGATGATCCAGACCAGCCTGGGCGTTATCTGCACGCATGCGCATGAGAACTTTTAATTTGTCAACCACTGGCATCTGACAATAGGTATGGTCCTTGTAGACTTGTTACCAGTCTCTGAATTGCCGAAGACAAATTGCCTGATGAAATGATAGACCGTTGTTCCTGTGCTATAAAATGTTTAGTCACAGTCTGATGATCGTACCGTCATCTCACCCACAGCGGAATGCATACAGGCACTTTCCATCAACTGTACCGATAACTATAAAAGGAAACTATTGAAGAAAAGAATTTGAAGCAATTATTTCAAAACGTTATCCTAACGGTAAGTTTGTCAGTGGCGTTTATCAGCGGGGGGGTACAGAAATTTTCGCTTTTAGATTTGTACTTCTTGTGTGCACACATATAGTTCACGTATAGCATGCACGAGAGCATGGCACAAAACACACGTAAATACAATGTTTACAGTGCCTGCGTGCACCCTTAATGCACGTTGAGTACAGCAATGCTCTTGACCTGAGTTCCAAGTAAGCAGAGCCAAACTTTTGGCAAAACAAAACCATATAAAACCGATTATTTATGATCTGTACATTAGACTCACCCAGTCCTGGATGATTACAATAGCTGGCACTTAAGCTGTTTGATGTTACTCTTGATTATAATGATTCAGTTAATTCTTGCTTAACGACTGACAGTTCGTATAAGCCGTGCGAGATTGCGAACGTGCGCGGGAAAATGCGCCAGTCAAGTGAGGGCGCACTTGCATCCATCACGGTATCATTAGAGGTACAGTCCACTAATTCAAGCCCCATTGAACAGTGTAAAATCAGCACTGTCCAGGGCCCAATAACATGCACGCAAACATCCCTGAGATTTCTGAAACACAAATGAAATTTTTGTGTGGTCACTATTATTTCAATTTCTTTTCAATTTTGGGGGGGTCAACCAATTACATTTTTAATTATTCCCACAAAACAAAATCCCCCCCACCAAAAAGTGATTTTTCCAAAGTCTGATTGCAGCCATTTTTCAAGTGGCAACTTTCTCGAGCACTTAAGACCATTTTTCAACCGTAGTTTTTAACCATTCTGCTCTCATATGAAAGCTCAAAGACCCAGGGAGTTGATCCTGGCAACGATTTACACAATCTCACCATTTTGGGGGCCAAACAATCTCCTTTTTCAAAAGATACTGTTGGAGCACTTATAATGCTAATGAGCTGGCCAGAAATTCTCACTTGAATTAGTGGTCTGCACCCTTAGCATTATACTTTCCATACTGTAACTTCTTCACTATCACACAAACGTTCTGCCTTAACTTATCCCCTCTTTCTCAGTACGGAGCACTAATGTGAGGGCGCTGTTGATTTCGATTTCGAAGATCAGTATTGTAACGGTAATACGATATACATTAAGATATTGTTCAGCTTAGATTATGGGGCATCGAGCTAGACCAAGATAGGGTGCTATTTCCTTAGCCACCGTGGCTCCTCTTGGTACTCACTGCGCATCGCTGGCTTATGAACGACTAGGAAACGCAAGCGTTGCAGTCGCGTTTCAACCAACAAAATTGAATATTTCTGACCTTTCTGATGAGGGGGACTTTTGCTCGAGAGAGATACAAAAAAAACATAATAAGCACGAAATAGTGAAAATCCAAACCAAGTAAATTAGGGACAAAGAAGTAATTTAAACTAAAACAAATTACAAAATCCAAGAGCTCAAACCTACCTGGAATTATTACTGAAAAGTTCACGTTTCCTGCAGGGAAAATCTGGCTTAAATACTGGGACGGATCAAGGAACTTCTTCCGGGGGATCAGGCCGGATATCTTCTATAATGTTTAACTTTTGGCGACAAACGAAAGCGATGGTGATGCATTATGGACACAAATTGTCTACAATGGCGTTATTGCATTTACTTTAATGAATTATTTAATTTTTTTTAAATTCAATTTTTTTTTCTCAATTTTTTTTCTTTTTTTCAGAGCGGAAGGGGTGTTTGCCCCGCCCCCGCCACCTGCACCGTAGCTTTTATTGCCGTGTAGGAACACTGATCAATATGATAGCTTAAGTAAGTAATCGCTCCAACCGTTCAAGTAATATCTTATTGATACGTGAAGAACGGGATCGATCTTCATCGCCCTCACATAGGACCGCTCTCGATGTGGATTCGATCTATGTCCTTGGGTGGGATTTTTATTTATGATGTTGCTGGGGTTTGAATTCGACAACAATTATGTTGTGACTACTAAATGAACTTGATTTTGTTTGTTTTTTATTGGAACCAAAATTGTTGATTATGTGTCAATGCACACAGAGAATTAACATTGTACTGCACAGACAATGAACCGCCATTTTGGTTAAACATTTTGATAAACAAGATTGTTACGAGGCAATAATGGGTATAAGTGTTTCTAGCCCGGTTTGAATACTTGAATTGAACCCACTGACGTTACCAAATATCAGCTGCATATAAACACTTGTGTTAAAACTAAAACTATCACCTGTTACCGAACATCTTTGCAACAATGACTGTAGATTGTCGTTCTTTACATTTACCACATCGGCAGGTGAAGCTAACCTTGAAAACGTAATATTTCCGTACAGTTTTTCGTCACCTTTACATGTACTTTTGCACACAAGCACTGGTAAAGTTTAAAAACCAAAGAAATAAACGAATAAATAAAAAATTACGAACATTTTTCAGTCTCTCATTTTCCAAAGCACTACACCATTCTTTGCTCGAATTCATTGATCGGAAGCTTTAGGAATTAGATTTTCCAGACGTTGAAATGCAAACCGGAACCTCTGAAGACGCTTATTTCATATACATTGTGCGTGGCGAAGTAATTCTCGAGCCGAACATTTATCAACAAGTATATTTAATTTCATGTCAATTTCACTTCAAGATGGCCATTTTTTCTTTTTGCGGATATTCATTTTAAATACTAGGCCTAATCCCAAATTGTTTGATGTTTGATTTGAAGAGTCATTTTAATGTTTAATTTGTGTTTGTTAATCCTCGTTCATCGAGCAGAATCCATAGTACAATTTACTGAAAAGTATCACTAAAACAGACATGCAAATCTATATCTAACATGCATTGCCTTAGTTTTAATAACGCTGAATGAAGGATTTAAACTAAAAAAGTGTATAACTTCAGGCCTGTCTGAATAGCATGAGAGACGGCCAGAGCCCCATGCCGTACACAGACAACGCTTCACAAGGCCACGTGTTTAACGATGAACATCACCTCACTTTCAACGACTCCTATCTGTCTGTGCTATGCAGAATGAATCGTAAATTTGGCCCTTTTCTATATGAAGCGCCATCATGCGTCATGAAATTGAGACTCTAGGTCTAAACTGCGACATTATTTGCACTTGCACCACCGCCAACCTCATTATCGTTACACAGAGCACCACTGCAGCAGGTTTGACTCAGTGTCATACCCGAAAATTCAAAGTCCGTCAAGTCAATACAGGGTACACCTTCAACATCTCGGTGACAAGATCGCATCACTGTAGTTGTTGCAGGCATGTCCTCGTCTTCCTCAGTTTCCGAATAGATTGTCTGCATAATAAAACGAGAAATAAAAGATTACCATCCAGTAGAGTCTCAGGTGCCAATTTAGGTTGGGTTGGGTTGGGTTTGGTTTGGCGACCATCAAAGAGTATTCATAATTGTGGGCTTTTGTTTAACACATCCTTCGATATTTTCAGGATGTGTGTTTCAGATGTAACCCGAATACATGTAATTGTGATAAAAGTTCTTTCTCAGTGCTTAACTTTCTCATCGTTTGAACAGCTTTAAAACTGCCTTTCCCTGATGAATTATTCACCAAGAATCGATCTTGTTTGTGTTATTTCTGAATACTTACTACGCAAGGTCCTCCACACGGTGTAGTCTGGATCCCACTGCTGTCGAACGGATTCCCACAACCTTCTTCTCCTATCTTCACATCACCAAAGCTGGTGAGAACACAGTCGTAGCATTGGCCATCAACACCATAAGTGACTAGAAAGAAAATGGACAAAATTTAACAAAGTAAAAATCGAAGAGTACATTGTCATATAACTAAACATCTCCTCTTAACACTGGTGTTGAATGTAGACTTCAACAAAATAAAGTAAGTTACATTTTTGAACTTGAACTTTATGATTAAATGATTTGAGAGTTAAACCAACCATATGTATATGGCTATATTAACGATGCCGGTTCTGGTGATTAAAAATGACTGCCACGTTATCCATAAAGGAAAGACGTCTACCTATACCTCCAGAGATTAAATTAATGTTTCCTTTAAGCACCCTTTTTGTGTGTAAACAGCTTTGCCATCCAAAATATTTGGTCATTAAAATCAACACTACTGTCATTCGTATTCTACTCACTATAAGCATCAAAACAGAAACGCAATTACGTCACAAAAAGCTGCTCCGCAAAATAAAACCTAAAGCAAAAACGCCTCTCGTTATTCAACATTTTATGCTCAAGGTAACCAGAAGTTCGTATACCCAAAGGGCATGTAATAACCGATAGCTGGTTTACTTACACAACACTGACAAAACAATCACGTTGAAAACGAAGTTCTTCATTGTGTTCAGCTGGTAGCGGACGTGCGCAAAGTACGAAAGTCAATCTGTGGAGAAAAGCAGGAACAGTTACAGATCAAAAGCCCAAGCATCTGGAAGAAGATCGGTCATCATTTACTTTGTTACTCAGAGAAGCAAACTTATATACAATGAAGAGCAAAGATATATTCTTTTCAGTTTGTACCAGAATAAATGTATGATGAATGAAAGTGCAGATGAATTTTTTTTGTTTTGGGGCCTTTATTAACAGCTTCATAAACAAATCAAGAATTACCCGTAGCCTTAGAGATGTATAAACTTGAAACAAAATGTCAGACTTGAAATGAAAACTAGTTTAATGTATATTTAAGTATAAAGGCTTGATGCCGTTTGAGGTCGGGTCTTTAGGTGAGAAATCTTTATCACTGCAAAAATGTATGCACGTTATTTTACGTATGTTCACTCCCATGCCTTTGTGCACGTTCAGTTGAGAGCGCAAGCGCACTTAATCACTTTACTGTGGACTTCAAGTCAGACGACACAGACACCATTCCGACACTTCTTTCCGCGTATACAGACCATAACTTATTTTTAACAAAATGGAAACAATAAAGTTCATGGAGATAACCTGATAACTAAATAATCATAAGACAACATTATACCATCGTATTATATGAACCAAGTTGCACAAAATTTGAAACAAATTCTGAAAAAAAATAATAGGCCTAATAAGCACAATCGGATTTGAAAGAAAATACGTCCACCGTCTTTCCCATTTTAAAACCACTTCTCCAGTTCATCCAAACAAACGAAATAAAGTGTCGTTTGTATCAAGACCCGATAAAAACATCAGTGGTATGTTCAAGTTATTGAAAATTGAATATTTTGCGCGAGAATCATTTGTCCGTAGTAGTGCATATCGTATATGTATACGTTCATGTTGATTGGGTACATGTACACATGTATAAACACACACATCATGGCCGACCGTCAATCGAGAACCAAACTTCAAACTGATTCAACTAACGAAGGACAATTCGCGATAGTTTAATCATAACACAATAACGTTTCTCAGGCTCCCTTTCAATAACCCAGGCATGCAGCATCTTCAGAAAAACTGGCGAACTATCCAAAATTTCGATTATAAAATACCCTTTTTACGTCCTGATACGTAACGTACACCGGCATCTTTCACCCCACTTTCTTGGAAATGACTCTTATGATCATTAAGAAACACATCACAAGATGAAATCTGAATCCCAATTTTTATTTCTGTGGTATAAAATTAGCAAACATTTACACGATGTGGAAGATCTCCGCTGATGGTTTTGGTTTGGTCGTTTGCCGGAAGGCGTCGCCATTTTAACGAACAGAAGAAAGTGACCATGACTTTGCAGAATTTTAGCGCATGTGCACAAACTAAGTGGAATTAGTCAGCAGCGTTTAGGCACTTTCAACGTGTCTCACATACTGGATTTTTCTTTTCCAGTTTACATTGCATTTTAACTTTTTTTTATCTGGCTACCCCTCCCCCTTCGTGCAAGTTTTGTTTTTATCTTTTCAAAATAACAACCGTCCGGCTGTCACTGTGAAAATTCATTGATAATCTGCATCCACACGAAGCAACAGAATCATTTGTTGTTACAGAAGCCAACTAGATTTATATCCCAATATTATCAATGGCTGGATTAGGTATCATTTAAAAAAGCGAGACAGACGGACTCGGTACAACAGGAAGTATTTTATTTCTGTGCGCAGTTTTTTTGTTTTCCCTGGGACACTATATTTGTAATCAAATGTGCAACGGTGTGCGGTACAGCCCGGTTTAAACCGGTTCCCTGTGTAGCTCAAATTTCCAAACTGACGGCTTGAATCGGTTCCCTGTAGCTCAAATTTCCAAACTGACGGCTGGTTCATGCATTCTTGTCTGGTTGGCGGGGATGCCTCATTCTTCTATTCCCAAGTCCGTTTCACCAGTAGTTATGCTTTCGGTTCAAGCATCGTCGCAGAAGTTTTGTACACTCGACTATGTGATGTGCAAGTTGGCAGGTTTAAAAAGGGGTCGGAAAGTTCCATCGAGATCTGACACTGCGCGTCAGTTGGTCAATTGCTTTTTTTATCAACTCATTTACACTGTCCTTTATGGACAATGGTGTTGCAACGGTGGTTTTATTTGGGGGGGGGACAAAAATTGTTCTAAATGGTTTTAAATTCCTACATGGATGTCCTGCGCACCCTCAAACCATTAAATCCGCAAAGAAACCACAGGAAAGGCGTGAAAATGTAGTAAGCTTGTACCAAACTGCTGTTATATCTTTCAGTAACAAGCTACATGAAAAATGACACTCTAACGTCTTTTCACGCCATCATTTGAACAGGGGGTTGGTTGAACACGTTTTGACGATTGTTTTATTATGTTTGGTTTTCATTGACATGCATTGGTAATTTATCTACGGAAACGTATAGAGACCATCTGAATTTCCAATTTTCTTTAACAATTTATCTCAGAAACAGGGAATACAGAAATTATTTAAGACGTCTTTCCCCTATATCCCAACTCGGAAAGACGTTTTTCTCGACATCCAATCTAGGAAAAATGCCTTTCCCGGATCTGAAGACGTTTTTCAAAGATATCAGAACATTGCTAAGGGAAAGGCATCTTTCCATGAAACCGTATCGTGGAACGATGACTGAAATATATCATTATTCCATCTTTCAAAGATACATATCAGAAAAAATTTTAAAACTCGTGTGCTAGCTTCAATGTATCAGATGTTCTCCAATCAGGAGATGAACAATAGGCTTAAATGTAAATACTGCAGGTTAAGGGTAATAAGCCAGCAAAAACCTCGACCGGGTATGGACCGGATCATCTTCGAAACATATCACTGCCGTCGTTCCTCAGCTTACTGATAATTATTCCCAAAATTTCCAATTATGGGGTAGATTCTGTCTCAAAAATCATCAAAGTCTGTAGGAAAATTTTACTGTATGGTGTAGTGAACTACCGTAGCTGTTTATACGGTTTTGACTAATTGGTGTCTTTTGAGTATTCCATGTGCATAGATTTAAAGGTCTTTACAAAAATTGTGGACTCGAGCTATAGACAACTAAATTTGACAGTCTTCAGTTTGGGTATATACAAGTACTTGCTCTTGACGAGTTATGCGGATATTCGCAGTAACAGGCCACACAAGGCAGTATCGGCACTTTGTACTTAGATAGCCTTACAGTACTCGTTACAAAACTAAATCCATAAGCCAGGTGAAACTAACTAAAAGAATACATAAATAGTTCTAGATGTAGCTAGATCAAGTAGCATTTTCTCTATATTTAACCAGATTGTAAACACTAACAGTAAACGTTCGTACAACTTACTTTGGTTTTCAGTCCAGTGGTTGCTCCAAACCGAAACGACGATGACGACGAGACGATGAAGTCTGCAGTGTAAAACAACTTGATGATACTTTTTATAATGGTTACGATGATCCATACCAGCCTGGGCATTATCTGCACGCATGCGCATGAGAATTTTAACTTGTCAATCACTGGCATCTGAGGATAGGCCTATGTAATAGATCGTCGTAGACTCTCCCAGTCCCTGAAATGCCATTTGGACGTCGAGTACCTACGTATTCACGAACTCAAACACAAAATGGCGAGACGAAACATTAGACCTTTGTCGAGGATTTAGGAGCTATCGAATGTATCGTCACAGTCTGATGGTCGTATCGTAATCTCAACCACAGCGGAATACGAACAGACACTTTCCATCAACTGTACCTAGCACTTTAGAAATAAAGATAATAATAAATAAAAATAAAGATTTGAAGCAAATAATTCCAACTGCAGTTGTCTCTTAGGCTCCACTAGGATCATGCTTGAGGAGAAAGTAACAAAAGCTGATCCGCGCCGGGCTGAAAAAAATAATTACAGTAACTGACGGACAAATTGTACTTAACAATTACTGAATTACTTTTGGCTTAAAACCTAAATGGACGAAGTGTACAACAGTAGTTTCCGCTCATTTTTGAACAAGTCTAGTATCCTTGGGCCCCAGTTTCGCAGTGAATGTACAAACGGTGCCTTGTACATCCCGACTTGATCCCTGGGTCTCGTATAGGTTTAGTCATATTTCATTTTCATGCAGATGGTCGAGATATCGAGACTCGTGCGTGGAGGATGCCTATTTGATATGATGATAATGTCGATTTTCATTTGTAATTCTAATTTCGGTTCTAGCAGCACAGAGACGTTTATAGAGAAGGCTGCTAACATGGTTTAGTGTGGTTTGCAAATTCATTAGTTAAAAAAGTTCAAGCGGAAACACCACCCTCATCAGTTGAACAGATCGAGCCGCGTTCAGTCTGTTATCAGGTGTATTAATTTTGTTGGTAACGACGCGACTGCACAAATATTCAATCAGTCTCACGCCCTATCAGTTCCACTTATATAGCAATCTCTCTCAAATCTCTCTTCTTTCAGCCATCTACTACTTGCTACGTTGTGTGCTTAAACCATGACTCGCACTCAGCAGCACGATATGTAACTTCTTCACCATCACACAAACTTTTAGCTTAACCTATCCCTCCCCCTATCTCTGTCTGTCTCTTTCTCTCGTCATGCGCTACGCTAATACCAGGGTGCTGTTGGTTTCCAAGTTGCCAAAGGCTGTTAAGATATACATGTAGAGCTTTTTCCTGTGATACCACAATCTTGGTGGGCCACCATGTGTTTTGGTGGTAATGAGTGGATAATGTTGTGATGGTAATCTACTTATTCAAGATAACTAATCAAGCATGCAGCGTTAATCTGCACGTGCGCTTGCACGTGGTTAAAGCAGCCCGTAGGAATATGTGCGACCAGCGTGGCCTTGACAGTGATCGCCACCGCCAGGTAGTTGGTAACCCACAGACTCGCCGTGTTTCGCTGTGGCATACTGGAGTAAATAAATGCTAGAAAAGATGCACGAAGAAGATGCGCAGTTCTCCTCAGTAGCCGTCAGGAGTCAGTGAGTGATCTCCGCAGATGCGCTCGAAAATTCCAAATCAGCGGTGGTTATTTAGCGAAAGTTGGACGTTTTTAAAGTCAGTTATGACATTTTGCGTTTCAGGCGGTAGAGAACAAATACCCAAAATATGAGCAGCGATATTTATACCATGAGTCGCAATCCTACTGGTTCCTACGGTTAAAGGAAGGTGGAAACATGCCGCAGGAATGCATTTGACAACGTGGTGAGGTTTCATACCGAGACAGTTGTGGACAGTGACAGAAAGGACAACGGATATTCCCATGTCTTTGTGTGGTTTTTATTTTTCTCTGAACCAGCTACATTCTCTCAGTTTTCTTGTGCGTATTTTTTGGAGAATTTGTAATTCTGTTTATTGTTAAGAGAGACGTTTTGAGGATGTAAAGACGTTACCAGACTTTCATTGTCACTGGAATATCAGAACAATCACTAAAATTATCGAAATTTAAGTCTCCGATGACGATTGTTTCTATCTCATGTTGATCGAACATGTGGAAGTGTTACGGACACGCATGCGCGGTATCCGCGCTCCTTTGCAAATGCAACTCTAGCTGAGCATTCCTTATAGAAGTTCTGCATGGCAGCCATTTTTCCGGTAAGAGCTTTTGTTCCACGGGGATACACACGAGTAGACCTTTTGTACTATCCCTACGCGCCAAAAGCAGTTACCGGAAATATGGCTGCCATGCAGACCTCTACCATGGAGGTAGAATCAACTCCATGCCTCTACTGTAGCCCGAAAGCGGCGCGGAATTAAGTTGTTAGGTCCTTGCAGCACGTGCAGTGCTGGCGGTGGCCATCATTGACCTTTTTGATCTCCGTATGTGGTGACTCCTTCTGTTTAATAGCTCCATGGTTGAGATGCTATCCTCTGGTAAGGAGGACCGGTCTCAGAAACAGACATAGACTTTGCTTTGATGATACGATCTCTTTAATTCGTCAAGAAAAATCCCAACAGGAAAAATCCCAGTAAAGAAAAATCCTAAACATAAATGTTTTTACAATTAAACATAATTTATCACAATCAATATAAAATGTAAGTAATAAATGCTATTTAATGGGTGACAATGTAGGTTTATGGGACTCACCCGGCACCTTGTCTTCGGCACACGACTAGTGGAATGTTACATGTACACGTGCTCCCTGTAATGCAACTTTACAACTACCCAATATGAATACATGTAATGTAGTGAAAATGTCAATTGAATACGAAGACCAGCGCAGAAGTTCATTGAAATGTCAGAATATTGGCAGTGGTACGCACAATAGTGAAAGGTTTCGTGCTCCCTCATGACACGCCATACTGACGAAGTCAGTAAATTCTGATACGTAGGCCATGCGCACCAAGACGGCAAGCAGCCCGGTCAGAGGTCACAGAAAGTTACGTATTACCCACAGCGTATACACTGTGGTGTCACTGCAATGCATGTACGAAATACTGACATTATACAACAACGGAAACACGTAGACGACTGACTTATGACAGGAGTCATGAGCACGGCAAAGGAAAGCTCCCCATTTCATATGACAGTAATTCTAAAATGAAAAGGAGTACTAACTTACTTAGCACTTCTCGAAAACAAGAATGAACCAACGTCAGGCAGGATACCTTCCCTCTGATGACAAGGCTAAAAATCAACAACACGGGCAGAACTAGACTGTGGCAGACTGGCCCTCCTCGTGCGCCCATGTCTTACGAAAGAGCGAGAAGAAAAGCAGAGCGTGTAAAGACGCTAATTTATATTCATGATCCCTATATTTACATTTATCACAATCCAGTCACGTGGGTGACAAAGGTCTATTGGTTGGCCTGGACTATCCGGTTCGTTAGTGACTTCGTCACAAAGCTTAAAGGCGGCCGCGGACGCGCGCGCCACGACAGATCGCTGATGTTGTGTACGTGTGTTAATTTTCGGTTTCATGGTTAACCATGTAAACGGCGATCAATGCATTTAACCCTATGTGAAGCGCACGTGTGCAGTGGGCGTGGTCTAAACTGAAGTGACGTCACACTTACAAACCGGATAGACAGGTTCGCATACACTCTCCGCGGTTCGTAAGTGCGACGTCACTTCAGTTTAAACCACGCCCACTATGTACACGTGCACTGAACATAGGGTTACGTGCATTGGTCGCCGTACCGTTTACGTGGAACCATGGAACCGGAAGTTAGCGTGTGACTTCAGCAATTGTCCAATGAAAGCCTGCAAATCGTGGCGCGTCGCCTCTGTGACGAAGTCACTTACGAACAGGATTACTGTGGTGTCCCAGTCACTCAGACGCGCATTCCTAAACTTGACAAATACGTGATTTTGGTTAGCTGTGCGCTCCTATTGGCTGATGAGGAAGCATTCAATGGCGTCTTTTTTGTTCAAGTGCGAGGGGACACCACAGTAATGGCTCTGGATTCTTGTCACCGGATCTGTTTTCACCACCACAAGTAAATGTGAAATATACAAATCAAGTGAAGGAAGAAAAAAGAAGTATAAACCGGCAAAGTCCAAGAGCCAAAACCTAAATGGAAACACCACTACTTTTGCAAGTTTCAACCAAAACATGGCTTTTATTTCCGTGTAGGATCAACAATCAATCGCTCCAAGCATTTGAAAGTGATATCTCGCTGGTCGGCGTCAGACGGGTTTCGAAGAATAGGACCGATAATCAGCGCCCGGAATTCTTGTCGATGAGGACTCGGTCTGTGCCATTGGCTTTTATTTGTGATGTTGCTGGAGTTCGAATTCAACAATATTCAACAACAACAACATTCATTGTTGTGAATAATCAACGATTTTGATTTTGTTTCTCAATAACAAGAAACGCCGAGTTATGCATTTTCATTTTTTTATTTAGGCACACTATTCATACAAGGTTCACTTACAATTTTTAATAAGTAAATTGATTTATCGAATGTAAATTAATTGGGAAAACGTTCATAATATGATATTTGTAGAGTAGGCATTAACAATTATGCAAATCGAAATGGTTATTCAGAGAACAACTTATAATAAACCTTCGCTAACAGGAAGTGATAACCTCCCGGTCGGAGGTCGTTTACAGTGCAGCCGATCACAGTGCAAATGCCATCAACCCTTCCTAGCGCCCTGTTCGGGCCCTGGGTACCCACTGACGTTGCCGAGTAACGGCTGGATAAAACAGTTTTTTACAATTAAGACTTTCACCTGTTACCAAACAACTTTGCAAGAAGAGTCTAGGTTGTTAAATATTGATATTTTCCCATCAACTGGTGAGGCTGGCCTTGGAAACTTATTTCAGTCCAGTTTTTTGTCACATTATGTTCAAAATAATAAGTAAACAAGTATGAACATTACCCAGTCTCTTCATTTCCAAAGAATAAAAGAAGGGAAGACGCTGTTGATAAACAATTCTGCGTTCGAATAGATTTGTTCCCGAAGTAGACATGTAAACTATAACATCCGAAAAAGACCAAAGATCCCCTTCATAAATATATCAAACTAACTCAAGACCAGAAACGTTAGTTTATAATTACATTTAACTTTAAGTAAATTTCAGAATTATCTAATGTTACTACATATCCATATTGTAAGAGCGCCGAAATGTCCACCCACATTTTTAGTTTTTCAGAAGTAAATGGAGATACGCGGCTGTTCTTCCCACCTGTTTGATTTTGATTTAAAGAGACATTTTGATGTTTCATTTTGTTTGGTAATCCTGGTCCATCGGGCAGATTTATACAATCTATTGAAATGTACCAATAAACCATACTGCATATCTGTATCTAAATCTAACATGCATTGCTTTTTAAATCGCTAATTAAGAATTTAAAACGAAAGAAAAAAAACGTAAAACTTCAGGCCAGTCTAATTAGCATGAGACACAGAGCGCAACTTCATGCACACAAGTTCATGTATTTAGCGATGATCTACTCCACATAGGCCCAGATCTGTCTTTGCTATGAAAAATGAAGCATTGTAAATTCAGCCCATCTCTGTATGAAGCTCCATCGTGCGTTATAAAATTGACTCTGGGTCTTTTTAAAGACCAAAGACGAAACTGTAACATTATGACGTATGTAAAATGCCTAAGAGAGCTCACCTAATTTAAAACCCCAACGCACATTGGCCCGAAGATTACGAGGGTAATGCTGCATTTAATCAGACGCAAAAGTGCATTGGAGTGGGTCAGAGTAACCGGCGAGTTGGCATTTCACTTTCATTTGTATCGACATCATAACCCCAATCTGGTCATCCCCTGGCCCTTCACTAACCCAGTTACTACTCCATTCAATCGTACTTGACTCACCACCACCGCCAAACTCGTTATCGTTACACAGTGCTCCACTGCAGCATGTTTGACTGAGTGTCATACCAGAAACTTCGAAGTCCGTCATGTCCGTACAGCCTACACCTTCAAGAACTTCGTTGTGACAAGTTCGAAATGTTGCTGATCCTGGTTTCCAGTCTTCGTTGCCCTCAGTTTCTAAATAGATTGTCTGCATAATAAGAGTGAGAAAAGAAAAGATGATTTTAAGTGGAGTATCAAGTAATGGTTTAAGATTATGAAGTGACGGGACAATGCACTGAGGTTATTTTTACCATTCTTTACATCTCGTTGAAGTAATCATAATTTTGAAAGTCTTCGTTATTTTAGATTTCTGATGAGCACAGGATATCCTTCAGTATTCTTAGTAAGTGTGTTTCAGATGTAATTCGAATAATTGTGATGTTTTTCTTAGTGCTTGAATTTCTCAACGCTTGAACGGCTTCGAAACTACCTGTCCTTGACGAAGAGTGTTATCCTTCTCCCTTTAACAATCATTTTGAATACTTACTTTGCAAGGCCCTGCACACGGTATAGTCTTGATCCCCCAGCTGTCGAACGGATTCCCACAACCTTCTTCTCCTTCCTTCATCTCACCCATGTTGATAAATGTACAGTTGTAGCATTGTCCATCAGCGCCATAAGTGACTAGAAAGACGTTGGACAAAATTTTAACAAAGTAAAAATCGAAGAATGCTTTGCTATAAAACTAAACATCTCCAATTTACACACTGGGGGAGAATGTTAACTTCAACATCACAGAGTGAGTTGCATTTCTGAATTTAATCATTATTTTACAGTAAAACCAAATATAGGGCGATATTGTTTGTAGACGATGGTGGTTGTTGAGATTTAAAAAATAACTATCACGTCCTTCTTATTAATGCAGTCGATTGCCTTCCTGAGAATAAATCAGTGTTGTCATTAAGCCTTTTTATTGTAAAATCTTCGCCATCAAAAACAAATTCCGTCTTTAAAAATTCCAAATTACTGTCATAAGAATGAACAAATGACAAGTGCCATAAATCTGTGCCAAAAATAAGAGGAATGGGGTGGAGATTTGTGGGATAAAAGGGGCGTGACTTGCCTGGCAATGAAAATTTCAAAAGGGAGGAGGCGAGCTGACACGGGGGTGATGTTCGTAATACAGATGTACATTTGTAATATGAACTGCATTTGAACTACAGAATCTCATTTCAGAACAGCATACTTTATGGCTTGTTTTCTTGTCTTCTCCTTGGAGTGCTATTGAATACATACTAGTCGTTGCGATGTCTGAACAATTCTCCACAATGCGCTTGATTTTTTTGCTCAACACGAGAAGTGGGGGATGACTAATCCAACAGTCCCCCCGCCAAAAAAGTGGGCAATATATACACAGTAAAAACTGTTGGTCAAAACAGTTGAGAATTTGTTATTTGCCCAACCTTGGTTAAAGCTACCACATTATTGGTCAATTTTCTGTCACTGTTGGTCAAACGTTGACTAAATATTGGGAAGAATTTTCCCAAAGGTTGCTAAGTTGATATTTTTACCAACATTGGGCAAAATATCAACCGAACATTGACCAACCTTTTTGCAGTTTATCCCGAGATGTACGTCCACGGATTTAAGCATAAATATAGAATCTCCACTACAAACTCACAACGTGGTTTTTCCTTCCGAAGACACCTTTCCATAAAACACTTGCGCCAGGCGTTGCGTATCAGTCAGTATCGCTCCCGGTGCGACTTTGATGGCCGAATGCAGCGCGTACGTGTGTTATGTTGATGGAGTCAATTTTGGGGTCCATATCCGCAACGCCTCGAAAACCTGCATATGGAAAGCGTCTTTACCCGGTCACAAAAAGCCGCTTCGCAAAAAATAGACCGATCAAGTAAACTCAACCCACTGCGCACTTGAGCACCTACAGCACGTGCTCTTCTCCAATACCACACCCATGGGTTCCAGCCTCGCGCAAAATACTCGCGTGCACGCATGGCGGACATAAATCACTGCTGTGATTGGTCAGAAAACAATGAGGTGGGTCTTAATGACGTGGTCTATTCAGCAGCAGCGTCTCGCCAAACACCCATCATCATTTAACATTTGAGACTTATATACAAGAACGTCATAAAGACAACAAATGTGTTTTTAGAGGAGCAATCGGTCTGTGACCAAGGGAGCTCCGAAAATGCCATCCCACTTGTTGAGATCCGGACATATTTTATCTCTGCATGACGAAACGGACATCACACAGGCCGACACCTTGAGGTAATTTATGACGGAACTACAACATCCAGCGGGTATGATGTCTACTTGGCTACACACATGGTCAGCTACGGAGGTGTGGAAACCAGTACGTAGCCTGATGTTTCTTTATGATGCCTCGTTTATCCTGAGTTTATAGTAGGCCGATCTGATTCGCTTACTTTCTGGTAGTTTCACTCCTAAACGGGTGCGATATTTTGCGACGTCGTCATTCCGTGATAAATCTCAGGATGTCGACATCGTGCTTGTAGGATGTTGTCATCTCAACAAGTCGAATGGTATTTCTAGAGCTCAGTTATGACCGACAATTGTTGTACTCACACAACACTGACACCACAATCACGCTGACAATGAAGGTCTTCATTGTTTTCAGATGTGGAAGTGCACGAAGTACGAAAGCTAATCTGTGCAGAAAAGTTACAAGAGTTAAAGTTCAGAAGCCCAAAATGCTTGGACAACATTTGAAAGGAGATCGGTATTTATCTTTTACTTTTTGTTTTTTACTTTCAGAGGCAAAATTGCATATCTCCAAGAACAGAGATTTTTTCAGTTTAGTATAAACTTATAATGAATGAAACTTCAGAAGAAAAAGACAGTCATGTTTTGGATGCCTTTATTAAAAGCTTCAGAAAAAATCAAGAACTACCCTTAGCATTACAGTGTACAAAATTGAAACAATTTGGCAGACCTAAAGATAACATTGACAAATATTTTGATATTTTAAAGTATAAAGGTTTGATGCATCGGGGGACAGCTCTTTCTCGAAAAATCTTCATCATTGAATTAAACAAATGAACGCACAGAGTGTACTCAGCAACGTTTGGGCCATCTTCAACCGTTTCTCACACATTGGATTATTTTTTTCCGATTCCCACTGTATTTTCCCCTCCCCCTTCCGTGCCTCGTTATATCAAAAACAAAAGCCGTCCAAAGACCAGCTATCACTTTCCAGCTAAATACTTTATTAAAAATAATTGATGATCTTCACCCACGCAAAGTAACAACAATTTTTGTTATTACAGTAGCCAAACGACATATTGATATCCTAATGTTATCAATTACTGGATTAGATATCATTCAAAAACCCACAGACAGATGGACTTAATTGGTATAAAACAGGAAGTACTTTATTTTTGTGCACTGTTTTTCTTAGCTTTTTTATGAACATATTTTATTGTATAACGTGTACAGTACGCGTGGATGCCTTAATCTTCTATTTCAATGTCAATTTCATTATGCTTTTGGTTCAAGTTCCACAAAATGCTCGAACTTAGAGACTCTAAACTGAGCAATGCAATGTGCAAGTTGATGGGCAAAAAGGTTAGGAAAGGCGCGATTCATGATGAATCATCTCACAACTATTCAGAGGAATTATTAAAAGCCTGTTCACTATAAAGTGATCTTCCACAGGTCCCTGCTACAAGGTATGAGTCACAATTAACAATGACGGCCTGGATACCTAAGCAAGCATCTTGCGGAACACGGGTGTAATGTCTGCCTTTCTGCCTGCTTGTTTCTTTTCTTTTTCGTCTATAATATCTCTTCACGTCGCAATCTGAACAGGGGTTTGGTTGAACACATTTCGCTTTGCCTTGACATATTTATCCTTGTTATTTACCTACGGAGGCTTATAGAGACCATCCAAGTTTCCAACAATTTTCGTAAATTATTAACCCCGGAACGAATGAATACTGAGTTCAATAAGACGTCTTTCCCGGATATCACATCTGGAGAAGACGTTCTTCCAAGACATGAGAAGAGGGGAAAGGCATCTTTATAAGAAAACGCATCAGGGCAAACGATTGCCAGACATTTCATTTTTCTATCTTTCCAAGATAAGATCACAGAAACTTTGAAACTCGTATGGTCACTTCAATGTATCACATTTTCTCCAGAGGATTTAAAATAAAAAGACATGTAAATGGTAGGGGTTAACGGTACAAAGCCAGCAAGAATCTCGACCGGGTATGGACTGGGCCATCTTCGAAACAGATAACTGCTGCTGTTCTTCACTGGTAATTATTGCCCAAAAGTTCAATGTGTACGGTAGAATTAGCTTCCACAAACCTCAAAGTCGGCACCAAAATTCCACAACATGCTCTGCTGAATCGGCTGTTACAGTTTCAGTCATTGCATGCTGGATACCCTTAAAAGAACTTCCTAAAATACATCGATTGAAAATTCTACATGTGATTCAAATTGTGGGTTCGAACTACGAATAATTGTATTCGAAGGTCCGACTATTCAAATTTGGGTATACGTGTACTTGTCTTGATGAAATACTCGGGTTTTTGTGATAACCAGCCGTATTAACACTTTGTACTTAACCGTAGAGGACTCATATTCAGCAAGCCCAACAGAACAACTTAAAAATCATTTCCGTCTTACTTTTGCATATAATTAGATTTTGTTGTAGCTAATTTTAGTTTAAGTAGCAATTTCTCCATAGTTAACCAGATTGTACAAACTAACAGCAAATGTTAATATAACTTACTTTGGTTTTCAGTCCAGTGGTTGCTCCAAAACGAAACGACGATGACGAACAGACGATGAAGTTGGCAGTGTGCAACAACTTGATGATACATTTTATAATGGTAACGATGATCCAGACCAGGCTGGGCGTTATCTGCACGCATGCGCATGAGAACTTTTAACTTGTCGACCACTGACATCTGAGGATAGGTACTAGGTCCTCGTAGACTTGTTCCTAGTCTCTGAATTGCCGTTCAGACGTCGAATTCATACGTATATATTCACGATCCCGAATACAAAGTTGCATGAGGAAATGACAGGCTTTTGTTAAGGACTCCTGTGCTATCAAATGTATCTTCAGTCTGATGGTCAAATCGTTATCTCACCCATCAACTGTATCCAGACTACAGAAAGAAAATTAGTTTTGAAGCAAGTATTTCCAACTGGTGTTGTCACTTAGGCTCCAGCAGAATCGCGCTTAACAATTAACCCTGTGTTACTTTTCGTTTAAAATCCTAAAGACAGAAGGACTAAGTGTAAAAGTTTGCATATTTTTGTATAGTTTTGGTTTCCTTAGTGCACAAAATGAGTAGTGAATGCAGTGCAAGTATTTCCTGGTACATCCCCGGCTTGATCCGTGGTTCTTGTAACCCGTTGCTCATATTTCATTTTTATGGGTGGTAAAGGTGTCTGGGTCTGATGCTAGACTGGTCCCCGTCCCTAATAAATAGGTACAGGCATGTAGCAGCGGTTTGATTAGCTCTTTCAATTTGGATGCTAAATATTTAAGTTTTGTCAGGCAAATAGCACTTGTTGAAATGAATGACATTTCAGCAGGGAGCGAATAAAACACAAGTACCTATTCTTGCTAAGCCTCTGTTAATCACAGTGCAATAATTTATTTGTCAGTGATTATCATCGATAAATCATTCTAAGGAAATTTATTTCAAATCGGTAATTATTATGTTAAATTTTAGATAAATGAACAGTTTTTGGTGAAGTTATTTTGGGTAACGAAGAAAAAGCCAAATATGCCATCAGCTTCTGCTTGATTTGTACATTGAGTGGGCATCGTTTCCTCATTTACATACACTCAGCAGGAGTCTCTATATTAATTACCCACCACCGGTGGTCCCTACGTTCAGCAGACGTCTGTAAGACGTCTGGAGACTATGCCCTGGAGGGGAACCAGTCTAGCCAGGTGCGTGGGGGATGCCTAGGCCCTTTTCCAATACTCGACTTGGGCTCCGTCTCAGGCTTCGTTCCCAAAACCAATCCCCGATTGAGGGCCTGAAGCGTTTAAATTAAATCGGATTACTGTAATCTCTGGCTCTCTTGCATCTTATTTGATGTTTTGTGGCACTGTTAAACTAATTACTGCGCTTACAGCTTCTAAGTCAGCTAGTTAAAAAAACAGGTGAAGCCTGAGAATGAGCCGAAGTTGTGTATTGGAAACCGGCCCTGTTTCTTACATTTTAATGTCTGTTGTATATCTGCAATGAGCCAGCTCGGTATTCCAACAGCGCATGCGCCGATCGAAGCTTTGTGAATAACTACGCGCGCTATTATCTGTCCTATGAGCACAGCCATACACCGACTCAGTGTATGGCTGTGCCTACGCTTTGTCCCGAAAAAAAGCATTTTGAAATACCGAACTTGCTCATTTTAGTTTCAGTTCGAATCAGTTTCACTAATACCAGCCTCTTTCAACTCTCTTCTCTCATCCATCCACCACTTGCCCTGTTATAATAGAGGGTCATACTCATCATATCTGAACATTCCTCACTATCCTTCACAAACCTTTTGCTCAACCGCAGCGGCTCCGTCCATATCTTAATAAAGTGCACATATGTGGGGGCACTGTTGATTTCGATGTTGCCAAATGCTTAAGACAAGTACTGTAACCGGCAACATACATGTAATTATGACCTTGCTGGCTTGAACTGTACCATCACGATGTGGAACTTGCAAATCAAGTCAAGGATGAAGGGGAAAAAAGGGATGACAGAGTCCAAGACGCAAACATAAGTAGAGATACTGCTGAACATTCCAACTTGCCGCCTGAAGAGGGCTACAAACAGCTTTACCTTGAAAGCTCAACGATCAATATGATTGCTCATATAATCACTCCCAAGCGTTACATTCTTACCTCATCAACCCTAGTTTGTTCACAGTTGATGAGATTGAAGTATGGAATCGATCATCATCGCCGTTACATCGGACTCAATTTCGATGTGGACTCGATCCGTGCCATTTGGTGGACGTTTTTATTTATGATGTTGCTCTGGTCCGAATTCAACAACATTCATAATGTAAATAAATCAACGACTTTGATTTTGTTTGCAAGAACGACAATTCACGAGTTGTGTTTGTTATGGGTTTTGAATTTTTTATTCAGGCACACTATTTCACACAACCTAACATCACTCACGATCAATTAGTCCATTGATTAATCACAAATTAAACAGTTTAAAGATAAACACTGGATATAAATTAATATAGCATGATTTTTGCGGATTAGTAATCATCAATACCCTAACTATAAAAATCGAATTGGTTATTCAAATAAGCTACACCAGCGATACCCAAGAGAGGGCGCTATGTCACGAGGCAACAAATTGGACAAGGGCGTTTTGGTTTGTTCCAAATACATGTGCAGGAATTGTTCCCATTGGACGTAGCCAAGTATCAGCTGCATACAAATAACTCTGTTGCATCCAAGGGTGCGTTCGATTAGGTTTCACGGGGCAAACCTGATGCGAGAATGGCCATAGTGATGTGTCAAACAAATCTGACAGTAGTGCGGACGTGACGACAAGTCGTGGAAGCTATAGTCGAAACATCCTTACCTACTTCCCAAAACTTTGCTAGAATAAGTAAGGCTTCTCATTTCTTGACTTTCTCGCATGGACTGGAGAGTCAGGTAGTGAACTAATTTACAGTTATCTTTTAACATGTTCAAAACCTGTGCATGCATCTTAAGGAAAGAAATTGCGGCACAAGACAACGGTACTGGTTTTAAATTGTCCCTGATTGAAAATAAGTGTCAGCTTAAAACAGGTCTAGCAGACAGCGCGATTTCTTGATCAACACAATAGTCACGTATTGTCTGGTTCTTACTGAACGCCCACCAAAATTAGCGATCCAATAAAGGTAACCTCCTCTGTCAGGGGGGACGGAAAGGTGTTGTGCGACAAGCGCCCCCTACGTTCAAACTCTTCTCATTCAGTATTGTCCCGCGACGGCGTGCACATCCTTTGTTTCTTAACAGCGTGAAGATGGACCACGATCCACGAATAGCCGGCAATAATTTTTATTGATAATTTATTAATTTCAACTGTGACTCGGAGTGTTTAAACCCGTATGATATACTTCATATATGGGACTTTCACTTGCATCAGAAAAGTTAATTTTCGAGATGAAAATTGTCTTCGAAAGAGACATTTTGTTTAACTGCAATTCCTTTTTGACCGTGCCATGCTAACTTGCCAACGCGTTGCCTGCATATGCATTTGTAAACGATGGTCGGTCTAGCGTGCTGCATCTCCACGCACTGTAAGTTTTGATCGAACGTGAAGAATTTTTGTACTATTTTTGGACAAAATTTGAATAGGACGCATCACTCGTTTTTTATGACGTTGTGAAAAAGGGTCATTTTGAAGGGAAGGATTTCCTTTAAACGACTACAGTCGGAAGGTGAGGTTTTAAAACATACATTTCAGGAAAAAAATCAATGTTGAAGGTGAGAGTTTTGCAAATTAAATCGTTGTTATGCATGACATTTAGGGGTGTCAATTTGAAGAGACCACAGCGCAGCGTTTGCATTATAGACGTGTTCGCATGCACGATCCATAGCTGGATCGAGAAGCTGAAATGGGAATCTTTTCTAGAATCTCCATGAAACAAAAGGCTGGTGTACATATTGAAAACAGAACAAGTTCTTCAATAATCCTTGTGGATAATGGAAACGCTGGAGATTTTAACTTTCAATGAAACAGTTCCTTATGAGCACCCCCTTCTAATGAATGGAATAGGCTTACAGACCGTTGTGCGCACATCATCACGCGCAACCCCCCCCCCACACCTCTGTGTAATTTACTTCAGTAAATAATTTGGTGTCTGAATCGGTCCTTTGAGGAGGGGCAAGGGGCCGGCGTTTTATTTGTCAGAATTATTTGAAGTTCAATGTCGAACAGTACAGTCGAAGCAGACGACAAATCCCGTTTTACATAGTACTAACGAAAACACTAGTCTATCACCCGAGTACCGGTACGAGTCAAGTAACAACTAGTGACCCTTGGTACACGTGCGCTGGAGTTGGCTCAGTACGCGACGAGCGGATCACTGTGGTTAGCCTAAAGGAATACCGTTGCTAGGAAACGAAGTGCCCCCTCTTGTTCACACAGATTCTATTCTAAGCATGAGATAAAAAATTGTTGGGCTAAAATTAGGTAAACTTTCCCATTTTAAACATTGCGAAATAATTCGCAAGCCAATCATTAATCAATGGTCACATATAATTTCGATTTCAGATAGCTATATTCACTTTTGCGGTAATTTATTTCAGAGTACTGTTTGCTTGATAAAATATCTCACGTCACAACGTACACATTTCTATTGATAGGCCTACCCAAATTACAAGTCTATTATTTGAAACATGGATGGTTCTTTGTATTACACTTTGAACACTATATTATTGAGTACACTTTTTGTAAGTTCTCGTTCAATGAACACTAATAATACACTGAAAGGTAATATTATTTGGAACCGTACTTTGCTGTACTTTCTTGAAATCATTGAACAAGAATAAAAGACTAAGGAAAACCATAGTACCGCAGGCCCACTGAAGTTAGACAAACAGGGGGCACAAGAGGCTGGCTCGCTTCGTTTATCACAACCAGAGTGCGATTTCATGCACAGACAACGCTTTATAAGGTCATATGTTTAGCGATGCACATCGCCTGACTTTCATCGACTTCATATCTGTCTGCTGTGCAGTGAGACATTATAAATTCAGCCCATCTCTATATAAAGCGCCATCATGCGTCATGAAATTGACTCAGGATCTCTGTATCCACCTAAAAGATGCAACGCACACTACAGACTGTGTCATTTTTGGATACCTATGTACTATTCCCAAGAAAGCACACCAAGCTTAAAACGCTAATGCACAGAGCGGTGCAAAGACTACGAGGGTTATGCTGAAATTAATCAGACTGGATATTGCGTTTGAGCTCGGTGTGGTTGCTTGTGCGTTGGCAACTTCACCTCCATCCCTCCCCTCACCCCCCGTCTCACCATCTGCACCACCCGCTTCACCACCTGCACCTGCATCACCACCGCCGTTCAGGTCACCACCGTTACACAGTTCTCCACTGCAGCAGGTTTGAGTCAGTGTCCCATTCTCAATCTTCGTATTTCTCGCGCCAAGACAGGGAAACGCTTCGTTGTGACAGGCTCTAACCACTATTGTCATAGGAGGTGTATTCCCGTCGCCCATCGTTTCTGTTTTTATTGTCTGAATATTATGGTGAAATGACGGAGAGAAATTATTTTTCTGATCTGCATCTTTCCGTAATAACCTCAGAAGTATCAAAAGATATAAACCAGACTTGACAAACTGTCCGATGTACAAATGCTTGCTGTAAATCAAAAGTAGACCCGTCAACACTAATTTATGAAATTCATCACTCTTCTTTAAGTGGTGATATTCACAAGACCCCAGTTCAGAGCACGTTTTGACACTCTCCAGTGTGCCATGTTTTTTTTAGACTTGTGCATTCTACTGTGCGCTCTCTTCCTCCACAATTCGAAGAGGCGAAACTCAGACATCGACCATCACGTTAAACCAAATATTTGTGGCTGCAAGTGAACTTCAGATGCTAAGCCACAAAATGTAAAAAGAAAGATAAAAACCGGAAAAGTAGGAGGCGTTGCTGTTTACGTTAATGACACCAGTGATGATCTTCATATTATTATAAAAACTGAGAAAATGGAACAAACACAAACTATGTTTTACAAATATTCTTATACAGCTCATTTTGGCACGGCACCGTCAAGGACTCAGGCTGAACTAAAGTTCCGGCGCCATCTGTGTGGAGTCCAGCATTCTTCACTGTAGTGCCTGCCAAGCTCTCTCCCGTAAGATCAACTTGTTTATTTGAGACCTTTTCTTGATTTCTTACCCTTACCACTGTAAACTGGTTACAATCAGCATTTTCTTTGTTAGCCTTAATTTTGACCATGGAAAGTGTAACACTTTCATACAAGGAACAAGTTGTCATAACTGACAACTTGTTCCATATCAGTGTGCTCTTGTTTGATTTCTTTGTTGCATGGGAGAAATTTCAAGGTTTAACATAATTGCTATTCTCAAAAGGTTTGCAGTATTTCGGATCGTAACACTGACCCTGGGGGGTTAAAGCAGTGAACTTAAAACATAGAATAAGTCAATAGAGTGATACCCAATGTGAACAACAAATCCTCAAATCGGCCCTAATCTAAAAATTCTAGAAAACGAAATCGTATATACCACCAGGATACCACCTTTAAATTGCAAGTTGTTGCCTCTGATAGTGAACTTGCATGGTAGTTCCTTTTTTTCTCAACTTAATATAACTGTGAACGTAAATGTTTGAAATTGTTTCTCTTGTGTTCATGTTTGCCAAAACCCACGGGTGACCAGTGGACTCCACTGAATGGACCACGCAGTTAAAGTAACAACCAAGAAAACGAGCAAATAGAATAGCAACATCAAGTGGAATCTTAGGTACCAATGTAAAATATGTGAAAAGACACGGAATTTCTTCTGATCACCGATGGAGTGATAAAAGGTGGTCCTTGTTGTTTTGCTTTTCTTGGAAATCGTTTTCTCCCGATGTTATTTTATATTTGGAATTTCTCATAAGCACAGGATATTTGATTTTCTCAGGAAGTGAGATTTAAATATAATTCGATTCAAATGATAAAGGATTTTCCTTCTTTGTGTTTGGCCTTCTCAATGTATGCCCTGCTTTTACACCGCCTTTTTTGAAGGGAAAATCTCGCGTCAGTTGACCTCCCTGCATTATCACGTTCATTTCTGAATATATCCACGAAAAATGTTGCACTACTTGTATTTGCAGTTTTTTTTAACTTACTTTGCATTGTCCTGCACACGGTATAATCTGGAGTCCCGAGCTGTCGAACGGATCTCCACATCCTGGTTGTCCAAACGTCATGCCACTCATGGTGGTTAAAGTGCAGTTGTAGCATTGTCCTTTAACCCCGTAAGTGACTATAAAAACATTGGACAAAATTCGAGGGAATAAATGTGTTTGGGATGCATTGCCATACCTGAAGCAAATGGACTTTGCGCTGATAATAAACCTGAAAATTAGCAGTGAATGTTGTTATTTGCAAAAACATTAGGACCACCCGTGCGCAAAAGGAATTAACCAAGAGAAAAAATTCAAATCAATTAATGATAGCAATGTTTACTTTCAACGCTAAACCTTAGTATCTTGATTAAACAGCTATTTCACATTGCCATGATTTGAAATGTTTAACAGTGTTATATTTGTCCACCCTTCTGCGCTTCCAACTTAGCTTTTTACCCATGATGCATTAAAGACACTACTTAGAATGAAGCCATTAGAAATTTAGTTTAAGAACAAACTTTGGTCAAAATACTAAGTGCGCGAATTGTGGTGACTCGTGGATACACTGAGACTTGGCAAATAGACTCAGAAAATAAAGAATCAGCAATCCCTGCTTCCGTGTGTCCTACCTCCCGGTTGTCGCGAGTTTCGCGAACATTTTCGGAAGCTGCCATGCTTCTGCGAGAATCTGACCGGCGCACCTGTATCTATGATGACCTGACCTACAAAATGCAAAGACTAGACCTGAGACTGCTCAACGTACATGTACGTACATACATGTACATGTACACTGCGTGCGCGACGTACGTACGGCACTCAACAAACAGACGAGTCTGCATGCCCCAAAGGCAACGACCGTAAAAGGTCGCGGGAACCGCTGTAGGAGTTTGCCTGCGCACGCGCATGCCGAAAATAGCCGAATCGTCCAAAAAGGATTCGGAACTTCGGGCTTAACACCGTCAAAAAGATTGAGTGTTTTTAAACGCGGATGCTTTAGAAATTTGGATGCTTTCTCAATTCGGATGCTTTCTCAATTTGGATGAAATGAGATTTTGGGTAAAATGCGTACCCAGAATAACAATTTTACGTTAGGAAAAGTGTTCCAATTTTAAAAAAAATATTCCGAGCAGTGTTCTAGCTGGGACCATTTCAGTACCGGGTAAATTTTTGGATTGCAAAGCGTAGTCAGCGCAGTTTTCAACGCTTTCCGATGCTTGAAATGCGATCGAATTGACACATTTAATCAGAGATGCATTTTGCAAGTGTGAATTGTTTTTATTTTAATCCCTTTCGGGGCAATTTTTGGCAATTTTCATCCCATTCAATCAACACAAAAAGTTGGCAAAAAAATCCTTACCTACCGACCCGGAAGCAGCGCTATCTTTTTCTTGGCCTAACTAATTTGCTTCTCAGTGTGGTAAGATCCAGCGTGGGCAATGCTTATCCTGTCACAACTAAATGTACTGTACATGCATTGCAAAACACGTATTACACGTAATTATAAGCTTCTCCATGACAAGACTTTGCAATGGCCCATTTGTATCCTGAACTTCTGCTCACTTGTTACTACGGTGCAAAACAAGTCCAATTGCTCACAAAATATCCAAGAATCAAATCTTCGACAGTCCTCCCACTCGGGTCAACTTTAGCACGATAATGATGCTGGACACACGTGCGAACGATATCGGTGCATGTACTTGTACAATGCGCATATTGGACGTACACAATCGCGTTGCAATCGTGCCTATTCGCCCCCTATGCATCATGCGTTAATCGGGGCAAACGAATAATTCAACCACGTTGGTTTCTACAGCTACTCACGCAGTGTGTATGCACAAAGTGCGGGATGCCAGCGACACATTTCTGACGCGCGCATTACGAGGCCAGCTCCGCATTTGAAGCAAGATATGGGACGGAAAGAACTCCCCCCCCGCCTTTGTGATGGTCATTGTTTGATCGGAATCTCAGGAATCCTTTACAGACTTCTAGGGGGGATGTGTTAGGTAACAATAGTCTAGAGTGTGTATATGGATTGGACATGGGGGGGTACCCCTCCGTCCCATATCTTGCCTGGTATACAGCTCCGTGCTACCGGTAGCTTGGGTGTAGAGTTTACACATATATGGTTTGTACCTTCGAGTTGGAAATCGACAAAATCTTAGTCTGGATCATACAGTCGTAAATGGACTAAACAAATCGTCAAAATTATGCCTCAAATCGTTTAAGTTGGCAAAACCTGCATTTTCAGTAATATTTCAGTTCATTTTTTGGAAAATCCGTGCTGGGCGGCACAGCCAATTTAAGCCCCAAGTGCCGAGCGGAAATTTGCAGTACTGGGTGGTGCCGCCCACCGTGGCTGATTCCGAGTCAACATTTTTTTCCAATTTTTAAAATGTTTGAACTTAAAAATTTCGTTCCAATCCTGAGAAAATGTTATATTATAAAAACTTTTTCGAATTTTGAAAACATGTTCACTCTTTACAAATTTATTCCTATCTAAAAAAATATGTTCCGTCTATGCAAACTCATCCTCTCTTTAAAAATTCATTCAAATCTAAAAAAATACGTCTTGCCTCTTTAAAATTTCGTTCCGTTTTTAAACAATGCATTCCAAAGTCAAAATACGATCTTCTTAAAATGACATTTGTTTTAAAGATACATTCGATTTTAAAAAACACGTTCGATTTTGAATGAAGGCATACCGGCTTGCAAAAACATGTTCCAATCTTTTTGATCCGAGTTTTGCTTCGTAATTCAAGTGGGCTCATAGAACAACTATGGATCACCGTAAAAATGCAATCATTCAATGAGATTCAGACAAAGTAACGGAAATACCAATAAAATTCCAGGTGGTTTCAAAGTTTTGCAAATGACTCGATCCTCGATCACAAAAGGGACTTCGAAAAATTTATTAGTAGGAAACAGTCATTATCATTTACCACTTCAAACTAGAACAGAAAACATAAAAACATGTCTTCATTGTAGTGACTAGAAGTGACAGTAACTAGTAGTGACAGTAACTAGTAGTGACGGTAACTAGTAGTGACAATAACTAGTAATGACAGTAACTAGTAATGGCACTAACTAAGGCTAAATGTCTCGGTGGCACCCGAGGGTGCACACATATTTTTCAAGGGGGCACTACAAGAAAATAAGATGCAGCTGCATAGATATATAACACGACAGAAATGTCGAATTGGGATGGGGAACCCGGGGGCTCGGGCATCTAGTGGGGGCCCGTGCGCCCCCCCCCCTACGACACTGATTTGGACTGATGATTGATGTACTTACACAACACTGAAAAAACAATCGCGCTGAAAACGAAGGTCTTCATTGTTTGCAGTTGGTAGTGGACTTGCTCGACAACACCAAGCTGTTGAGAAAAGGCATCAATTTAGTTGAAGCTCAGAAACAGCACATGCTTAGAAAACATCTCAGAGAAGATAGATTTATTCATTTATTTTTGTTTTACTTTATGGAAGCACAATATTGCTAAGTACAGTAAACAGTCATATATAGCTGTACAAAAAAATCAAGCAAGTTGGAACATCTAAACAGACAATAACACTGAACAAATTTGTGACCCGTTACCACAAAATGAGCTCAAAGTCAGAAGTTTCGAAAAAATTATGAATTCAACAGGAAGAGAGCTTCTCAATAAGGGTAAAAATGCATGCATCTGCATGTATGTGATGACATTATTCCGGCGGCAATGTGTCTTTGTATTAACATTTTTTTCAGAATAGACAAGAAAAAATACTTTTGTCAATATTGGTGGGAAAATGAGGTTTTAAGTATCTTTTAAAATATGGATAAAAGTGTAAATAAATAAAATATATATAAATAAAATCTGAATTTTCAAAAAAACTTGGAATCAAATAAAAAACAGGTTACTATTTTCACATTACAAATTCAAAATATTGATCTCCTCTTCAATTTTTTGGTTCGAACGGTCATCATAGCCATTTTGTCGTGACGTTTCATATTTTCAGGAATGAAGGATGTCTGACTGTAACGCTGCTTTTCTCTGTAAATTGCCTTTTAGGGGGCAATTCTATTAATAAACATCTGAGACATTGACTCCTGCTCTGTCGAAAATTAATATTTAAATGCAATGAACATTTCTCATTATATATTACTTTCTTAATTCATTTCCTTTTTAATGTATTAAAACTATTACACGTGATCTTTGTTAGGCTGAAAAGTGGATTTGTTTTATACATAACTATAAAATTATCCATGTTTTCCTAGACAACTGGGGGCGCTGTTGCTGCATGTCAGATGAAGAAGACACGGTTCAGTGCGTAAAGGTTTTTCTGTTCAAATCATGAGCCCAGAATGTGCTCACTGCAAAACCTCTCAAAAGGGGTTGACTGCTGGCTTAGTGCTATCTACTTACACAACAATGACTCATCCCAGAGAAAACTCAGGCCACCCAATTTTTTAAAATGCGGGATCTTTTCTACTAGTATGACATTTTAGTTTTGTTCATGACACTGAAAAAGACATTAAGCAGCTATTTCTAAAGATGAATTTGACATTAAACAGCCTTTGAAATGGTGACACAAAAACTTAAGTGAGATTAACTGACACAAAAGATGTATTTGAAATTACCTTAAAAAATGCAGCTTTACCCTTAAAATTGACTTAAAGAAAAACAGCAATATGCAGCAGAGGAAGGAAAGCCAATGGATAGCTCGTATGCATGCGTGTAATGATTCCGAATGCTGAACGCTTAACAAAAACAAACTGAGAATCGGAAATTCACATTTATGTTGGCATATTGTAACATTGTAAAAGCAGTAACAAACAAAAACTGAAACCTTTTCTAGTCACACTGCGGATGAGAAAATCTTCAGGGGAAGATATACGGACGCCAGCCTTACCGGATATGCGGCTATTTATAGCCATAGCAAGCAAACACATGTCCGGAAAAGGGAACAAGGAAAATACCGAGTCGTTTACTGAGAAAATATTTAGAGTTTTCAGACCAGTCTCACAGGATTTGTGCACAGGGTTTCAAGTGACGTCCGTATATGAAACTCTTTCCATGTTCAGAATGTAAGAAACTACATAATTTACGGAATAGTTAATGGCAATATCTGAATGCAGTTGGACTTGAGCATGCTGCTTGCAGCCGTTGACAAGAAGAGAGAGACAGAAGAATAATTCTTCCCTCTTCTTATTCCTGCACGATTCCTAATTAATCATAATACACCAGCTACTTTTCAGTCAGCATAGAAGGTTAATTGAAAGTAACGAGAAGAACTTGTATGACATACCTTTTTCTTGCAATCTCTCGGTTCCTCCGAAGTGAATGATGCGACTACAACAAAGAGGGAACGACGTGCAAGAGACGTGGTCGCGGGCCGTGGAAAAATGATTCAAGCCCGTCTAGGTGTGGTCTGGACGCATGCGTACTACAACTATGTCGCCTGTATGTACCCATAGTGGGGGTTTTCCAAACCTCGTTTCTGCGTGACAGGAAAACTGTTTGTGTCCACACAAAACAAGTATACTTTCACTTTCAAGGTAATAACCTTTGGGTTCATACCATACAGTGCTTTGTTCTTTGAGCAAAAGAAGTTTCTTCAGTAAATGGCTAAATTAACATTTCAAGGTGGGGGGCTGACAGGCGAAGCCAGTCCGATCGAAGCCTGGATTTGGAAGTTCAAGCTACCTCATAAATAACTGGGAAAGGGTGATAGATGATCCTTCTAGACTGGTTCCCGTTCCCAGTTCACTGTCATTTAGTGTTTACAGGTTTTCGGGAATTCATCCCAAGGTATGTAGTTTTTGCAAGAAGGAGGCCTAATACGCGTTCAAGTAATATTTATTTATTTACCGATAACCAGAAATGCACTTAATAACAAAATAGTTGAACCATCACAGGCATTACAAGTTGGAATTGAAAAAAGTTGATTCACTTGTTCTTGAAAACATATACTTATTTTGGGGTTCAATGAGGGGTTAGGTCAAACCCTATAAAAGAAAACCAACAACCCGGCATTTGCACGCGATTACTTCAAAACAAACTGAATACACCAAAGTAACATGTTAATAATAATCAATAACTATTTTTAATTAAATTGTTATACATGTACTAGATTCTTGTCTTATGACAATTACAGAATACCAGTGATTCATACGCTCATTTTCCACACGCACAGATATATATGCAGGTTTCCTGTGTGCACCATTTGTTTTCAAATAAAGTTTGTAAAAACTAAAATGCGAAATGGCAACTGCGCACAGCCACGATTACACAAATCGAAAATCTGTCATGAAATCAAACACATGCTCCAACAAGGAACCCTGCGGCGTAGTAACCTGGAGAAAATGAGTCACTGATCATGTTGGCGGTGAAACATTAAAAATTAACAATTATTTGAAAATGTCGTATAAATTAGTCAGAGACTGTGAGATGAAGTCATTATTCGTTCACTCTTCATGCTTAACCAGAAAACTACACAGCAGTTAAATTTTGTGATTCATGATCTACTGCTTATTCAGCTGGGAATTTGGACTGTCTGTAGATCTTGACGGAAACGATGTGGAGCAAACGAAAGCCCATCCCTCAGCAAATGTTCTTGTCTGTGTTTCAAACGTAATGAGAGAAAAGGCGAGATCAAAGAGGGAAAAATGTCCCCAAATTTATTAGTCTCACCCATTGGAAAGGCCCTAAAAAGGACTTAAATAAATTCACAAATTCCTTCCTCCCAAGATTCGATTCTGCATCCGCCCTTAATGCCGGTCCTCTGCTTGTATAAACACATGCAGACGTCTTAGCATTATGCAGGGTGAATGTGTAGACTAAATCCAGGACAGTTATGTCTGTGAGTGTGGCAGTCAACTGTGCGTACACGTTTCCATAATCATAGCCCGTAACGTTTTTCCTATTTCATTAGGATATTTACATATTTTGGTTGTACATTCTACATACATGCTGTTTGTACCTTTTTGCTTCTCAGTTTATATCTGTGGTCTTTTCAGCGTGTATGATTATAACGTGTCATTCAGTACCGGTATTCGTTGTTGTTTGATGTAATGTGGTGTTGAACAGGCTCGTTCCGGAGAAGGTTCTATTAATATCTTATAAATTACAAGATTTAATAAATTACTTCTTCTATAAGGTTATTGCCATTCTTATTTCTATTTTATGGGTTTTTTTTTATTTCAGAGGAATGTGATCACTATCGGCTTTCGAGTCATTTTCTCCCAAGAACGAGAATCCAGTGAACTTGTAAACAACACGGCTGAGTAGAAAATACCGATAGGTAATGCCACCCAGGCAAACGGAAGGAGTCTCCCAACAGTCGTATGTTGTTTTCCAACACCATCTTAATATGCGTCCAGACATGTTGCGATCTTGTAGCTTACAGGGCGAGAGAGGTGCTGCGTATTCCGTCTACGTGCAGGCAATGATACCTCCACGTGGATGCGCGTGTAGAATGTAAACCATTGATCTCCGTTGTAAAGACTGTACAGGATACGGTGCACGCCATGTATAAAAATGGAGAGCAAAGGTTGGAACATTTTCTTATCATGTGCTCCAAATGCAACGCGGAAGTACAACAATTTTACAGCATCACAGGCATGTTCACATCGAGCCAAACTATAGTGAATGTGCGTATTTAGGTTTCTGGCGTATCAGCATTCTCTGCCCAGCGTTTTAGAATACAGGCGTCGATAGGAAAATAGCCATCCTGACAAAAAGCCGTAAAAATCTGTACAATTTTCATGTTTTTTTTTGTTTTTATAAACATCATGGTCACACTGCTCAACTCCTCACATAAAGTTGTCCTCTAGTCCCTAGTAACTGAAGATGCCACGGGTGCATATATAATAATGAGGCATGTTGCGTTTTTTTAATTATCAAGAGTCTCAGAATATCGGGTGTACTTCGGATGCAAAGTCTACCTACTTTAAATAAGTACATTCTAATTTGAACACTCGTTATCCAGTTAGAGTTTACATTTACATGCGAATGTGGAAGGAGGTTCCTTAAAAACAGAGTTTGTAGAGTAGGGATCCCCTTGAATATAAATGAACACATGAATAAGAGAAGAAAAGAAAATTAGAGTGAGCAATACGGGCCATTCACAATAGTGCGCCACCAAGAATTTACAACGTGTTGGCCAACCACAAAGCGCGAAATTTGTCGACCCTTTCCAAACGCGCACTGGGTCGACAGATTTTTCGCATTGTGATTGGCCAACGCGTTGCAAACTCTTGGTGGCGCGCTATTGTGAAACGCCCGTATTTGGTATTCCAAAGCGTATGCCCAGCACGAAACTATTCGGTAAAAGCTACGTGCGCGCAATAGTCTGTCCTATCAGCGCATATCGTTAACTCACGTACGCAGTTTGTTCCCAAAAGATGTTGATGTTGATATCCATAATAAAGACATGCTCATAATACACAGGAAACACATAACACGCATAACACAAGGTGACACAAATAGACGGAATAAGAAAAGTAACCCGTTGAGAAGGTAAATTGAGCTCAACTTCTTCGATAAGAAATACGTTTTCAGTTTTAATTTAAACAATGCAAGACAAAGAATGCCGATAAGTGAGTTAAGAACTTGTCTTAACGGATTACGCGCTCAGTGCGCGTGTTGTTCGATGCGAACACATCACCGTTCAATTCATACAACAGATGGATGTGACGACAGTAAATTCACACACAGTCTCACGACTTCATAATCCGATTCTAATTTTAGTTTTATCTCGATTAAGAAGCAGCCCTTATCAGTCTGATGACGAATCCTACTAATTTGTGAGTTTTCGATTAAATAACACCCTTTTTAATACTACAGTTTACTTTAAAAAGCTAATTAGCCAAATTGTTGTAACCTGCTGGACAGAAAAGATCGATACGTACCCTGTGTTAGTCATTTTGGGCTTGTGCAGTTAAAAGAGGGACCAAACCAGCATTTTATCACAAATCTTAAAACGTCTGGTCTGGAAAAAGAGCGGAGTAAAAGAAGACCAACCTGAGCTTAGCAGAGCAAGATCTTTGCGTGAAACACTGCGTAGTTATTGCTCCTCTTAATTAATGTTACTAATTCATTTATCTCATTTTTTCTTATCTCCCTACCTTTGTTTTCTTGCAGGTGGATGGAATGTAAATTCCGTTTTGACAGTTCTGAGAAGATTATGGGACACTCTAAACTAATAACTGTATGCATATTTCTGATGAGTAAGTTAAAAAAACAAATGTATTAAGTATGAAAAGGTATTGCTGCAACACCTGTGGAAATAGGCCTATTTTTCACGTAAGTAGGCCTACGTGATAGCTTTTAGTAATTTACGGTCATCGAATTATAATGTACGACACGTGAAACTAAAAAGAAATTCAGGGTTGTGGCTGTAATAATACGTTTCCGTAATTTAGTAACACTAACTCCCTTGAATTTCCATGCTTCTAGATAAAACAACGATTTGACTAATACGTCGATGATGTGGAGTTTGACTAAAAAGGGTCATTTTTAAGTGAAGACCTTTTGTTCTTTTTTCTGTCTTTCAGTTCTTATAGCATGTGCTGAGAGCCGCTTAAGATGTTACAACTGCACGTATGTCGAGTATAAGAAGAAGGAAACATGGGCGGGTCTCGAGGAGTGTCAGGCGAAGAAATTTGACGATGAGAAAATTCCGGTGATAACATGTGACGGTACATGCGTGGTAAGTTGCAAATAACGATGCAAAACTATCTTTAAAAAACACCAACTTATTTACAATAATGGACTACTGGCAGAAGCGCCCCTTGTTTAAAACTCACAAGCGTCTGAGCCAGGTTGAAACTTTGGGGGAGGGGTCTTTCTTTCTACTTAAGTGGGGTTATTTCAGTCGTAGATACACTTTCAAAATGTTTTAACATCAAGGGATGGCGTTTCATTCCAGCAAGCAGAATAAAAGTTTTAAACTTAAGATTTCAATACCAAATCATCTGCCCTTGTTCTTATCAACCACAGCAGTTTTTCTCCCTCTCAATATTCAAACATCTTTTCTTTTTTTTAGGTTCGTTTGTTTGTTTTTCCTTTGGTCCTTTCAGACACGTTCCGTCTGGGGCGATGTGGTAGTTACTCAGCGAACCTGCCACCAAAGTAACAGTGGTCCATGTAACCGGATCGACCGCTATAACATTGGTCAAGACGGTTACCTGTCGCAGGTGTGTTGCCGTGGTTCTCGGTGTAACCATAAAGGGAACGACAATGCTGGTCACCCTCATATTAGCGCTAAGACTCTCTTTGTTATCGAAACGATGGCTCTTCTTTGCTTTGTGATGTTTGGACCAGTTGATATTTGGACAAACGGCCAAACATATTCTTGGAGAATTCCTTAAGTTACTGGGGTGGCACAGCAGAGAGAGAAGAGCATTTGCGTAAATTGGCTACTCTTTCTCGACTCCGTGATATTTAAATTCAGTGCCAGGACAAGCTACGAATTCTTGAGGATAGAAGACACACTTGTGTATTATACGCAATTTCAACTACAATGCCTACTTTTCCTCACAACTATTATGCCGTTTCTATTTTGCTAATTTATCAAGAAGAACAATAATATAGAATATCATCAGATATATGGACAATAAAGTACACTGAGTTTATAATCTTTGCCGACTCCTTCGGAAATTTGTAACTTCATTTTGGATTCAGCAAAGGGCACACAGTGTCAATTGTACGGTCTTCATGTTACTTGGTGAATCGTAAGTCACTTTGGTATAGGACAAACAGTCGTGCTTGAGACCCTTTCTTGTCCGATCAACAAACTTCTCAGGATGCAACACAGACCAATATCGATTCCATATTATGGCTTCTGACCTTCTGACCCCCTTTTCCTACACTCCATGTGTTTTAATTAGCTCAACAGTCTGCAATTAATCATATATACAAGCAACTGAAAAAGCTCGCCTACGCGCATGCGGCTGGAAAAACCATGGTTATAATTACCCACACCAACACGAACTTTAGGATGTAAAATGCACATTGCTTGCATAGTGTTCTGGATAAAATCTACACATAAAAATAGTTTTTGGGTATGCAACTGTTCCGGAGGTGCATACTATGCCCTGTATTATTTATGTGCACAATTTACACGAACGGACGGTACCTACACTCAAATGTATGTTTTTATATACCTCATCGTCGTGCAATCGGCGCTCCATACTCTGAGCAGGACATACCTCGTTAAAAACCAAACGCACGATTCATCCGTCCGTCGCTGTCAGTTGGGCTCTGTTTGGACTGCGCAGTCTTTTCATTACTGCTGTTCTGTCAACTGAAACCGGCAGGTAGGCCTGTGTAAGTATAATGTTTAAATGATAAGCATTTCGGTTTATTTTATGAGCCAAGTTTATTGTGTTCATTTATTATTTCATGGATTACTGTACATCTGGGGCTCCATAGGATTGGCGTATGTAAGTTAATGGTTAGGCCGCGCCTCCATGCGTCAATAATAACCTCACCCACATAAGGTTGAAAGGTTGGCTGGTTTCACGGGGGCCAGAATTAAAGCAGTGCGTGCGTCTCGTTTTTGAACTTACGCTACACCTACGAATTCGAGTAATACAGTGCCAAGTATGTTGTCGTTTCGCAGTAGTCAGTGGTCGGTAACCACGATTTTGCATCGTCTACTTGCGCTTGAACTTGATGCACTGATCGAACCTTTGCTGCTGATATTTATAGTCTCTTTGCCACTACGCGGACTGCATGACCTTGCACGGCAAACAGTGCACTTTCACAGCTTCGCGCGCCTTTCCATACGGAACAAGCTTTGGGTGAGGATAATTTCAGCCGAAAAAATATTGGTAGACCCTACGTACGCGCTTTCGTGGAGGTTAAAGTCCGTGTAGACCGATCATGATTCATAATAAGGCCAAATTTTTCTCTCTGACATATCCATTATATTTCTATACCTTAACTTTGAAATGAATGCGAATTAATGACAGCCGAGCACAGACGTCAGGAAGCAAAAACCCTCCAATGACAGCGCGGAACAACAAGGCTGTTAAGTCATATTGGACAAGTATGACTCACACCGTAACTGGTGACAGCGGCTGGCTGGCCGCTAGCTGGCGTTATACTAACTGGCGCTGGCCGGCTGGCCAGATGAATATGGCTTGAGGCTCAAGGCCAAGGGGAAGTTCAGCGCACTGACGATTTATAGCTTAGTGTACGTGTATGTCAACTTGACAGTTACTACAAATTTCAACGCCGTAGCATTCCGTTTTAAGCTCCGGGGTCTGTTGACTTGGAACGAAGAGAACGCATACCCTGAACTGTATGGCTACTCGATCGGACCGCGTACTTAGTATGCCAATACAGAGTTTTTGGGCGTACAAGCTGAAAACTGACCGAGCGTTTTTTATACTTGGACTCGGCCTAACGCAAGCCGGCCGATAAAAATCGGGGAGGGGGACTCGGCAAAGGGAATGCCCCTTTTCTGGCCCCCATTGGCAAAAACCATAAGCATCAAAGCTAGCGTTGTTCTTGTAATGTTCACCTCCTAGCTGGTACTGTGAACCCCCTGCACCAAGGCAGGCCACACAGGCTTATAAAATTTGTAATTTTGAAGTTTAAGTTACTGACCTTTTTGAACTCAATAATAATAAAATATACATAATGTTAAGCGATTTGTGTCATAGGAAAGTGGCAACTAGGATGTTGTTGACAAGTTGCATTTCGTTGCTTTTTCAGGCAAAATGAGAACCTTTACCGCGTCATCTTTAGTGGCTCTCACGTGGTTGTGCTTGCCTTGTAAGTGGATAACATAATTATTTTAAGGACTGAAAGTTTTTCTCGTTGAACGAAAGCAGTTTTTCTTTACTGTTGTCAGAAAACAAGGAAATTCAAAGCGAGGAAATGTGCCTCGCTTCCACTAAAACTTACACAATATCTCTCCATGAAAAACCTTTTCCAAAGTAATCTGTAATTTTTACCGTGTATGTTTTTATCATTGTCTCTTTTGACATCTTCAGAAAATCCTATTTCTTTATACAAAATGTTCTCTGTGCAATCAATCTTAAATTACGTGACTCCCTTGTAAATTTTTTCTATGGTGATTTCAGCATGCATCTTAACTGAAATCGTATTAAATACCCTATTTATAATTTGTTTGGTTCTTTTTCAGTTCTTATAGGCTTATTTATTTATTTTATATCTATTTTTAAATATTTTTTTTAAAGTAAGTTTTTCTTTTTGTATTTAGAAAGTTTGCTTTGGAACGATGTCCACTGAGTATTACTTTTCTCTTTCAAATTTACTGTTCATGTCACTTTGTGGATTTTTATAAATCGTCATATAATTTGAATCGCCATTTACTGTTTCATGATAAATTCATCCTGTATTGCAGTGACTCGTAAACATAAGGAATACCCACCGGTGATATTGAAGAAACGAATGAATGACTTAATTAATCGAACTGAATGTTAAAACTTACCGCTCGGTGGAATTCCACATTTTCCACTCTAAATATTTCCATTATAGTTGGTGAGCATTTTGATCCATCTAACAAAGATCGGCGATCATCATTATTTTGTGTGGTCAACTGTCCCAATCAAGCTTGGTGTTATAATTCTCAACACTGCTAGTGTACATTGAATCATGGAGGAAGGAACCATGATTGAATCGAGCTATATGCAATCACACGGATGAAGTCAAACCGCGGGAGCTATATACATGTACATGTACATGTATGCAACCGCCGTACACGTGTATATCTCATCAATTCATACACGTACACACGTTTGGAATTCGGGCATAGTATGTGCACAATCCGATGCTTACTGCATGAGTGACAAGACTGTGTATGTTGAATCGCGGCACAAAGGTTCAAAGGTTGTGAACCCAGCCAAGCGAAACGTGACCATCATGATTGAAACCCATGCTATGGCTCGTTGCACGCGACATGGGGATGGTGGAATTCAATTCATAGCTCAAAGCTTAGTACGAATCGACGCTTTGTTAATTAAACGAACACGAGAAAGGGGTTTCGAATGATGGGAACGACACGCAAACATTGTGAACAGGATTCTCAACTTAATCCCCACTTTCTATCTGGGTGGAGAACGTCAAGAACAAAGTGTTAAAATGGCGACTGATATCCGAGCGTAACTGCACTCTTTCTGGTTTTGGAAAGGGACTGTAGATCCATGCATGAATCCGTCCCCTTTTGCCTCAGCCATTCTCAGCACATTTTTATGACTCATTTTTGCGTTTTGTCACCCCTTGCAGTGGTCGCCTATTCTCAGGACCAACCTTTGTTGTGTTATGCGTGTACCTATCGCACTGTAGCCGACAGAGTCGTAGGGGAGTATTGCAGCGATCCTTTCAATGGTGAAGTGTCTGCTAACATTACCTGCGATTCAATGTGTGTGGTGGGTAATCCAACACTATTAATTTATCCATGACAAAACGGGCGTTTCACAATAGTGCGCCTCCAAGAGCACATTGACCAATTACAATGTGCGAAATCTGTCGGCCCATGCGCGTTTGGAAAGGTCCACATAATTTGTCGCCCTGTGATTGCCAACCCGTTGCAAACTCTTGAAAGCGCACTATTGTGAATCGCAATTACAAAGGCCTTTAACTACTATATCAAGTGACTTCCTGCACATAATTACATTATAATGGTCAATTTCATTTGCTACCATTTTTATTGGCAATGGACGATTGCTATGTTTGGTGGAAGTGAACATTTTTCATCAGACGTCAATTTTTCTTTTTTCTATAAATGTATCTCTCTTCCACAGAAACGTATTTATAAGGGCGGCGTGGAGCAGATCAAACGAGGATGCTATTCTGACATAGTGGGAGCAACTGGAACTTGTGAGACTTACCACGACAGAGAAGTCCCCAATTCGGATCCACCAGAGACGTTGACGCAATTATGCTGTGTAGACTCGCTCTGTAACCATGGCAACATCAGCACTTCAGCGCTGAGCGTTCTAAGGTTAACTTTGTTTAGTCTCCTGTGCATACGTCTGTCTGGATGATGTTTGCCACTATTAATCACTGAAGCACACCTGCGTATATTGTAATGTAGTAATTTTTTATCTCAGTTTGCTTGTCTCCATTTTATAAACAAAGAGCATGGCATGATAGCTTTTACTTTGTGCATGCACTGTATTCAGGGACTGTCGATTTGATATCAAATTTGTCAACTTTTTCACAGTTGGAATTATTGTAATGATTCAACAACTGACCACATAATTGTATGTCACTTTACGCGTTTGTACGTTGAAAATGTATGTTTGAAACTAATAATTCAAACCATGATAAGCATATTGCACGAGATATATTAGACTACAAGGGTAACATTTTGTGGAAAAACATTTATTTACACTTCACGCAATTATGCTGTAAAGACTCGCTCTGTAATTTGTCATCAAAAAATTGTTACTCAAATGCTACTTTTTGAAAGGGAACATTGACACGAGATAGTGTGACGTCGTAGTTCTTATGTCATGTGCGTTTTGTCTTTCCTTGTGGTTTTCTGGGATGAACTTTCCTGGCGATTTGTCTTGGGCTGATTTGTTAGGCAATTTTCTGCAATAAATTCCGTGTTTTAGATACAATCAATTTGAAATCAAGTGCAATGCACTTTTATGTTCAGAAACAGTTCGAAAGAAAATGGCATGGCTCTCTATTTTGATATAAATTTTTAAAATCCAATGTTCTTAAGCCACACTGAGCCAGGTTGGTATTCCAACAGCGCATGCTCAGTCCCAGGCTATTCGAGAACAGCAACGCGCGCGCGCGCGATTGTCTGTCCTATCAGCGCAACCATACGCTGACTCGCGCGCGCTTTGTTCCCGAAAGACCTTGGAGTTTTAAATACCGAACTGGCACATTTAAGGGTGACAGTGTGTATCTCAAATGTTCTACATTTGCAAAGTCCTATGCATACAGGCTCATAACTTGGTGATATCAGACCAGTATCCTAAAAACTAATGTCTTAAAAAATCCATCACCAATGACGTAGCGTCATCCTGAGATCTTTTCTTGTTTTTAGAATTTGCAACAAATTCTGCACATATGTGATCTATTTAATCTGTACGTGTCCATCGGCAACAATACAAGATGCTCTTTATCAAAAGCTCATGAATGCATAATATGCGAGAAGGCCGACCTCTTACTTGAACGGACAAGTGCCTAGTTTTATTCTTTGTTTCTGTTTTAAGTACATACCATCTAGAGGAAAAATTTGCTGGACTAGTTTATACGCTCCTGTGAAGTACAGTACATGGACATGTATTCTGGTTAAATTAACCACTGTAATTTACAAAATGAGTCAGGTCAGTATTTCAAAAAGGAAGGTCATTCAGGAAAGCACGCCAATCACGCGCGCGCCAATCCCCGATGACCTCAGACGCGCTTCATTTGGGGCACGCACTGTCTTAACTCCGAACTGACTAATTGTTATAATCTTACAAATATTGTCAATTGAAAACTGAAATAAACGCAGAATTTCGGGCTGAAGTATACAGGAATGTAACACACTGTTGTCATCGTTTTATTTCCATTGATTAGCTCTTTTTGTTTTCTTCCGAAATCGCGCATCGACTGTATGGTGGTGCCATCTAAACTTGCGATGGACTTTTCTATGAATATGTGAAATCGACGCTACAGTTTCACAAATTAAATGCATTTTGCATTAAATGGTGCTATGACTGCAGTAACAGGTGACTTTAGCCAGTACATGTATACAGTACATGTATTTAATATTACGTGCAGTAATTGAACCACATTTGCTTCAATACAACTAGTCTATCATGCTAGCAATGTACACACAATAACTTACTTCTTACGTGCGGTTTTAAGTAAACCTAGGAACTGCTAGGCATGTGATATATACACGTTGTTTCAACAAACAGAAAGCAATCATTTTTCAAGTCCAAAACTGACCAAACTGTTAAAAAAAATCATACTTTCAAACGATACTTTCTGCAATGCAGCCGTCGCATCAAAACGTTTATCCGCGGAAAAGACACTTAAAAATAAACTCCTATCAGAATAAAGAATTAAGATTTTTAAGTTATTACGTTCTGAAGACCTTTTAGAGCACTATAATTGAGCCCATTAACTGTAGACAAGTATGCTACAGAACTCACTTTATGTAATACACCGTCTTATACACACCAAAAGACCCCCCCCAAAAAAAAAATTTAAAAAAATAGATTCCACGGCTCCAGCACAGCTAAAAAAAAAAACAAAAACGAAAAAACCCTGGAACAAACCTGACAAACACAAATCTCCATTTTGATTGGAGGTTATTGTTGAAATTTCAGACCACTGGGAACATGACATACATGTATTTCCTTACCTGTTACTGTCAGTGTTAATTAGCAGGTGCAAAATATATCAATGTTATCACTGAATTCATGTGACCAACTACATTTCTCAAGATCTGACAACTTTCAATCATCAATAACAGCATTTTACACAGGTAAGACAGTACAAACCACTATTTGTGTATACAATACATGAATCATGTTGAGGATTCTTCTTCCAGGATAAGAAAAAGGCAGTGTTTGCCTACAGATACCTAGACTATAAAGTTCAAAATTAATTATTCTAACAGATGTAACTAGAGAATGGTATAAGCAAATGAATTTAATGACAATTAAAATACACATTAAATTTACGAGACTTGTTGTCTTTCATTTTGTCTCAAATTATCTTCCATTAGAGGAAAACGTTATCACAAGAACGTACAAGTATTTTTTAGCAAAATGACTGGATTAATGACAATCCAGCCAAGCCATCTAAAACGCTTGATTCTCTAAACTTAAAACATGTTCACACACCAGATAACAAAGGGGATTTCCTCCCCCGATTGCCACCTGTTTCTTATGTTTTTATCACTGTTCTATGAAAAATGAGTTACAAATCAAAAACAGAAATCTTCAATATTGGGCCGCAAAGCAGATGCTAAAAAATAAAGCACCTTCTAATAAGCAAGCACTGGCCACAGGTAAGTCTCCTTAGTCTAAAGGTTAAGAAATGGGGAGCTACTTGATCAAATTGGACCCATCAGGGTGATAACTTTCAGTTGAAATAAAACGATCTAATCATTACTCATGGGACAGGTGCTCTTCAACTCTTGGTCAGCAAACGGAAGGCAAGGTCTGGTCTGCCCGTGTCTTTCTTTTCATCCGGTTTTTTTTTGGTGCGGAATTTCTTGATGTATCCCTCAATGAGCCTTTTGATCTTGACAGGGTTGATCTCTCCACTCTTGCTATGGCACACCTATGAGGAAAAAGAGGTCAACAAAACTGCCAAAAATGACGAAACAATCCATGCAAGTTGAATCCATGATACACAAAAAACAAAAACTTGCTTGAGCTGAGGTTGGCCCTAATGACCTATACTGTCATTTGCCATAGCTTTTTTCTATGGGACAGGTTTAAGGTTCATGTCGAACACTTCATATTTCCTATTAAATTTTCAAAAACCCAGCAGGTGTCAAGTCTTTCACAAATCTTTGTCAACATCTTGGTCACAGTGAATGAAACAGAAGTTTCTAAACACAGAACCTTCAGTGTCTTATTCAGTGTTTAAGGCAAAAGCCAAAGGTGCAAAAGTAAAACGTCTAATTGGGAATGAAGGTGTTTCCATAATCCTTACATCTCAAAACTCCTCTCTCTTTCCTCAGCCACACCCATCATGAACCTAAGAGAAACCACAGCAGGTGCTTACTTGATTGACAGACTTTCGTAGTATTTCTTTGTAGTCTTCTTTGGTGACTTCTCGTTTCTGGTAGTATGGTTTCAGGGCTAGTTTGACTTCCTCTACCACACGCTCCTGGTGCTGTAACTTCTTCAGATACTGAGGAAAACAACAGGATGCTTGGTGAAATGAACACAGGAACAACACTTGTTAATGTCATTCATTCCAAAAGCTGATTACCATGGGCATCACAAAGACGTTTTCCAGGGAGAGGGGTAAACATTTTTTTCATGGGGGGGGGGGGAATTTTGGAAGGGGGAATAAACCATCTGCTAAAAATTATCAACAATTAGCAGCAGGAGGGGGTCAATTTTGAGAGCTCTTTCCAAGCAAGTTGCCAATTTAAACTCTTTCATCTCTATTTTTCCATTTCTTTCTCTTTAGGCCCCCCAAAATTAAGTCTGCTTCCAACATGCCTCTTAAAAATAAGGTCAGTATGTAGGTCAGAGAATTTTTTGTGCTAATGTAATAGCGTAAATGGGGACAAAGCCTACCAAAAGTTGTCTCAAAAAGTGATAAAAACATGTCTTAATCTATTTCAAAGTTTCTTCAGTTGAGTTGACAATCCACAAGAATTATAGACAATTCACACAATGTTAGTCAGGTATTAATCACAATAGCAAACTAGCCAATAATGTCCATGTATCGCGTGGTAAGCATGCTGATGCATCAAAACAAGCAGGCGATTAACCTCAATGTGCCACAGCAGGAAATTTTGGGGAAATACGCTCGCTTCAAGTACCAGCAAACAACCTCAAATTAAACTTGGGAACACAGAAAATACATACATGTACATAGACAAGAGACCAAGTTCTGTGAATTAACTTGGAGAAATCTTCTTGCAACACCAATGTTTTTCAACGTACAGCTGTAGGGAACAGTGTAACGACATCATTGGACTGGTTGCAACATTTCCATCCCATGTTCTTTGCACATGTTGCATGGGGGCGGCACAGCAGGAACCAGTGCAGCTTTGCTCTAATGCACTGAGCTTAGCACACGTTTTCACCACTGCGACAGTGAAACCCGAAGGGAACTTGTGAAAATAATGGAAGTTTCTTTTCAAAAATTGCAAATGTAAGTAGGAAAACATGTAAAAACAAGCACTTTTAACATGAGAAAAGAAAGACAAAAAAAAGACATCAGGATTTTTTTTCATTCTTTTATATTTTAAACAAATTTGTTTTTGTAACTTGCTGATAACAATTTCAGGATCGGTCGGGAAACAGGAAATAGACGTTTTTGGGGAGCCTTATTCCCTCATTTTCTCCTTTTTTTTCTATTTTTTTTTCATGCACAGCTTATGTTGATCACTACTGAAATATTTCAATTCATTCTGATTTCACTTACCCTCTCACGGGAGTTTTTGTTGTACAGGTCAACAGCAGATGATTCAATGTTGTCTTCAGTGACATCAGCAAGAGTGTGTAGACCCTTGTCATCCAGCTCTTCTCTTATCTCTAGTGGTCTGCTTGGTGGCGATGTGAAAGATGTCTCGCTGGATTTTAGAAATCCTGAGATGGAACCCTCTGATGAATTTTCAGGGTCTCTCTGACTCTTCATCAAGTTTGCTGAGTTGAGTGCTGACTGGATAGCTGGGTTACTCGCTAGCTGCCCAAGGATGTGACTTATTTGACTACTTGCCTTAGAGGCCAGGTGCGAGTCTGTTGTACTGGTAGCAGGTGCTAAAGTCTGATCTGGTGATGTTGGACTTGGTGGTGCCAATCTGTATGACCCCTGAGTGCTGTCTGGAAGCTCCTGACGGGGTTGCACTGGTGAGGTCCTCTCGGGTGCAGATGTGATCCGTTGTCTATATTCAGGACTTGTTTGAGTTGGACTTTGATGAAGAACTGCAGTTGGTCTTTTGGGACTTGGAGACCGGTTTCTAGGTGGGGTCTTTTCTAGGGATGTGCTTCGATTAGATGAGACACTGCTTTCTGAGTGAGATGAGGAGGAGGAGCTTCGATCTCTTGAGTATCTTCGGACTCTGGGTGACGGGCTTCTACTATCTGAAGGAGTTCTGCTATATGAACGACTTCTGCTATATGACGAAGAGCTCCAACTATCAGAAGACGATGACCAGGTACTTGAGGAACTTGGACTCCTTGAGCTTAAGGAGCTAGATGAAGAGCTTCGAGAGGAGACACTCTTTCTAGTAGATATTCTTCGAGATGCAGAGTAATCTCGTCTATGTGGGGATACACTTCTCCTTCTAGGAGATACATTTTGCCTTTTTGAAGATTCTGGTATGTGCTTTCTGGGAGAGATGTTTCGCTGTCTTGGGGAAGGATCCCTTCTTGTGGGTGACATGTGTCTTCTTTTGGGGGAGGCACTCCGCCGTCTTGGAGAAATGCTTCGCCTCCTCAGCGGGATGCTTCGTTTTCTGGGAGAAACAGATCTTCTCTTTGGAGGAGGTCTACGTCTTGGTGATGAGCTCCTTTTTCTTGGTGACCTGCTTCGTCTCCGTGGAGATATCTGTCTTCTCCGTGGTGAGATGCTTTTCTTTGGAGAGGCTTTCCGTCTTCTGGGTGACATATTTCTTCTTGGAGATATGCTATGTCTTCTTTGTGGTTCTGCTTTCCTTCTCTTAGCACTGCTCTGCTCTCTTGGAGACAAACTCCGCTTTCGAGGGGAGAGATGCCTTTTAGGAGACCTCCTTCGAGACCGTGATGGACTCCTCCTTGGTGAATGAGTACGTTTATGAACAGAGGCATTTCGTCTCGGACTTGGACTTCTATGCTTTTGGAGACTTTTACGAGGTGGAGTAATACTTTGTTTTCTTGAGGAATACCCATGGTCTTTGGATTGGCCCTTTTGTCGCGGTGGACTTCTCCTCCTTGGAGACACACTTCTTTGTCTGTGAGGGCTTGATCGTCGCCTAGGAGATGATCTTGGCTGAGGGCTTCTTTTACTTCTCCTCTCAAGGGAAGGACTTCTTTCCCTTGACCTCCTAGAGTGTCTCACACTAACTGTTTTTTCAGAAACATCTGGAGAACTTATAGTTTCAGGAGATGCTGTTGGTTCAAATGGATCATATAGAGTATTGTCTTTTCCTTGCTTTGAAGAGGTTGCCATTTGCGGAAAAGTTTCCTCATCGGAAGAAATTTGACTCAAATCAATAATTTCATCATAAATGTTCTTCACCGGCCCAATGACCATTTCAACATCAGATGAAGAATCTTCATCCTTTGCATCATTTTCATTTTCTGTCTTGTTTTGGATATCTGCTGGTGTGTCTTGGGGGGTTTCTTCTATTCTAGCTTTCTTAGCAGGTTCTGCTCTAATGGGAGATGGCGCAGGTCTTTTGCTCTCAGTGATTTCAGGGGGTGTTTCCTCAGACTCTTCTGGATGTTCTGTGGGTAGTTCAAGTTCCTGCTCCGGTGGTTGATCATCTTTCACTTCTTCTGTGACAACTTTAGCAGTTTCAGTAATTTCTGGCTCAACAACCTTCTGCTTCTTACCCTTACCTTTCGTCTTTTTCACCTTCTTGCCTTTTATGCCATCTTTTTCCTTTTCCCCGGATTTATTTTTCATTTTCTTGGTTTTATCCTTCTTTTTCTTCTTCACTTTTTCAAGCACTGGTTTATCAGAAACCATTTCTGTGGCAGGCACTGTGATAGGCAGCTGCTTGGAAGATAGCTGACTTGTTTCATATTCATCCTCTGTTTCTCCCGTGTGTGATGTACTTGGGCTCCATGCCCGCCTGATACTACGTTTGGTTGACTTCGCCTGGGCAGGTATCTGTTGGTCGCTCGTGCTCGTTGCTTGCTGGATGTTAGTTTTCTCCAATCTTCCTGTTTCTTTGCTTTTATTGCCATCTTTAGAGAGATTCTTTTCTTTTTCATGTGAGGCAGAGGCATGGTCTGCTTTTTTACCACTTTCTCGTTTGTGTCTATCAGAATTCACGCTGTCACTGGTGTTTCTGTGAGCTTCCATCCATTCGTGGACATGTCCATCCTGTGAATGTTTGCTAGAGCGGTCAGACCGGCCTTGTGAGGTCGAGCATTCCTTGCTGTGAGATTCAGAACACTGCTTGTGTTTCTGTGCAGGGTGTTTATTCTCAGCCATGGAGCGATCCTTACCCCTGGATGATGACCGATCATGCTTCTCCAACCTATCCTTCTCATGTGAGTGTTCTTTAGAATGTTCTCTGCCTCCTCCACGTAAGGACTCCTTCTCATGTCTACCTTTGGAAGAATCTGTCTCTGATTTTTGCTTTGAGGTTCTGTGTCTGTCCTTATGTGAATCCTTATCCCTGTTGCCTGAAGATTTCAAAGACTCTGCCTGTTTACTATGCGAGTCTGATTTGCTTCCTTCCTTGTGTTTCTTTGTGCCTGTAATACTCTTGTGTTTTCCCTTCTCCTGCCTCTCTCTGTTTTTCTTATGTGGACGATGATCCTCCTCGGAAAGCCCGGCATCACCCTTAGGATTAGATTCTCTCTTACCATCTTCAGATTTCTGTCGAGCATTCTTACTTCCTGGATTAGGATTGTGTCTCCGATTACCATCTCCTTTGTGCGTTGTCTTACTTTCAACATCACTCTTTTGTCTTTCTTCTCTTTTGGAGTCTGAAACTTTCCTTTGATCACTTCTTTCTTTGTCTGCTTCCACCTTTTTGGAGCTGATTCGGGATGAATCTGATTTCTTTTCCCGTTCTGGATTTTTCTTAGCTTCCATCTTTTGTTCAGGCAACCTCCGATCAGATGTCATCTTCTGCTCTGACCCTTCTCTTCTTTTTGTTTCAAACCTCCTTTCAAGGTCCAACTGTTGAGGCATCTCAATCCGCCTCTCTGTCTCAACCCTTCCCTCTAACACATCCCGCTCTTTTCTCCAATTTGTAGGTGACCTCTCTCGATGGATGGTAAAATTCTCCCACTGATGTTCCAGAGGTTTGCGTTCTAGCATCATCCTGTTCCAATCCTCCTCATACAGGTATGGTCTCTCGTAGTCTCCATGCCGTTCCCATGCTACTGATTTCTCTGCCAACTGGGCTTCCATGGCCCTTCGTCTTTCTAGTTCTGTCCAATAAGCCTCATAGCGACTTGGTCTCTTAAATGGAACATCTCTCTTTACTTGAATGACATGTCTGAGATCACTAAATACACCCCGTTCCCCAGGACGATCAAACTCCCTATCTCTTAATAAGGGCGGATCTGAGCTTCTAGGGTTGGCCTTCATCTTCTCTCTCTGAATTTCCACCAGTGGTCTCTTTGGAATTGTTAATGACATCTCTGAATCGATAACTACAGTGCGAGTGTCCTTCCTATTCCGCTCACGTCTGCGTTCATGTTTTCTTTTTTTCCGAGAACTACTAGGACCGTCCTCCTCATCAGTTTTGACTTCTCCTTCTTCTGCTGATGAATGTCCAGCACGTCCTCGACTGCTTTCCTGTTTCCTCATTTCCTTGGACAGTTTTGATTTACTTCCGTCCTCATCATCTGCAATTAGTCCTTCCTCATCTGAAAGTGAAGTCTGGCGCTGTTTCTCAACTCTCATCTTAAAATCTTGCTCATCTTCAATCAAGCCTTCCTCCTCAGAAAGTGAGTATCTCCTCTTAGGCTGCATCCCCTCTTCATCTTCATCAATCAGACCCTCTTCCAATGATGATTTCCGCCTTGATCTTCCAGATCCCTTTCTAGCCTCATCTCCTCTGGCCTTCAAGCTCTTACGATCTTGATGCTTTGATTTCTGAGGATCTTTGATAACTCCCTCCTTTCCAGAAGACCTCTTGGAAGATTTTATCCCATGTAAAGCACCTTCTTCTTCAGACGGGGACTCCTCAAAGCTGCTGCTCGACACTCGGCAGGTTATGGATCCATCATGTTTTCTGGGAACTTTCTCCACATCTATTACAAAACCACACGAGTTTACACTAATAAGTCATTACAAGTCGACTATGCACATGCATAATGCAACAGTGTCTTGAACTTCATTTTTTTTCAATTTCCACACAATTTCTGGAGAAGTCAACAGGTTAAATATTTTTTCAGTGTATCAAAGTATGTTATGAAACATTACAAGACCATTACACCTGTAAGGAGTAAATGCCAGTAAAACATTTATCAAGCCACTGGACAAGCCCCCCCCCCACAAAAAAAGAGGTTAAAATTTTTTCTTTCAGGAGGGGGAATTGAAAACATGTATCACCACTTGATATCAAGGGGTGCGGGTCAAGGATTCTTCTACGAGTGTAAAAAACAGTCATTTCTGGAAAAAAAATTCAACTTAGAATCCCCCTTGCTGCATCTCAGCCCTACCTGCTTGCCCAAGGAGAAAACACCCACCATACATCTCATCTTGATCTTCCATTTCTTCTTCCACTTCTTCCACCTCTCCACTATCTTCATCACCAGAATCTTCATCACTTTTCATTTCTGAATCCAGATTCTTCTTGGAATGTCTCCTTTCAGCCATTCGATTCTTTCCCCTTCCCTCAAGATATTTCTCCTCATGTGTTCTACCTTGACCTGTTCCTGTAACTTCCCTCCAAATTTCACTATCCTCCTTAGCTTTCTCAAGGGTCACATTTCTCTCACGATCCTCCTCCAGCTCTGCCTGGAATCGCGTACGTTTCTCTCCATCCTTGGCGGACTGAAGCACTTGATCTCGGCTTTCTTTCCTCTTATGGTCATCGGGGGAAGTACTGCTTTGTTTTGGACTTGTTTTATCTCCAGGGTTTTGTCCTTTGTCTTGGTAGGGCGAGTGCTTTCTTGACTTTGATTCTTTGTCTGTTGAATTGAAAAACAAATACCCACAACAATCAAAATCATAATATGGCAACTATTTTTACAACTGATGCCTGTGATGTAAGAATTCAATTTATAACCAATTACTAAATCTGGAATAAGATACGTTTAGAGAGCAAGGATTCAATTATTACCATGACCAATCTTGGTTAAAGATCCATCCCTGTTAATGGTGACATCTTTGCTTGACATATGCAGCATGTCTTGACCAGAAATGATACTTCCAAGAAGATCGGAGGTTGATGAAGAGGAAACACTGCCATCATGAACACAAGACACAGATCATGAATCTAACCAACTCTGAGAATCCTGATGAATTCATCAGTACATCAGTAAAAAACAAAACAAAACAGCAGAGTGACTGGCCCTTAACATTAAAGCAATGTTCATGCATTCTTTTCTAAAAGGTGGCTTACAATTGGGGAGTGCGTACGCTACTTGTAGCTGCTTCAGATGTACCTGTGGATGCTGTCTCACTGCAATAAAATCAGAAAAAAAGACAACTTATAAATTCTCATTTAAGTGTTAGATTGCAAAACTAAAAACAAACACTGCTACCTAAAAATCACACCCAAGCTGTTTTTGAGTACTGATAAAATGTTTAATCTTTTGGTAATCAACGGAATAAAACTAAGACTGAATGTTCACTGCAGCAGTGGACAATATGAACACTCATCAATAGGTCCCTCTCAAATGACATCACTTCCAACAGATTTCCACGTTCATAGGCTTTTTTAACTTCAATTTTGAGACGCTCATCGCACTGCCCCTCAAAGATGTTTGGATCAGCATGCGTGCTATTTTAGAACATTTTGCACACCGCGTATAGGCACACGTTAAAGTTACAATGTATATACAAATGTGCCATTCTCCTTCAAAGATGGCACCTGATGAGAGAGATCTTATTAACTGTGGATACCTGATGTCAAGTAGGTTATCACTACCAGTGATCATCAACGTTGCTGCTCCAATCTCGCTCCTCCGGATTCCTAGTGTCTGTTGACCTTTGACCTTTACTTCAGGCATCATGCTTCCAGTGCGAGGCTTGACTAGCATCAACCTATCAGCAATCCTTCCACGGATTGTCTTTGGAACCGCAGCCTTGGTTACACGTTTCTTAATCTAATCCACAAAGAAAATGTCAAATCTTAATTCAGTATTATTGTTTTCTCATCCATTTTGCATCAATTATTATAAATTAGAATAAGCAACCATGAAAATGTGACCAGTCTGATTCCTGGACTGCATTAAACGGTTGTTTTGTCAAACCAAAACATTTGTATTTTTCATCCAACTGTATCCTTCGTTTGAAACATTTCTGTCCTACCTTGGATCGTTTTTTCTTTTTCTTTATTTTCCGTTTTCTTTTTATCTTCCCAGATGACGTAGTCGTCTTTGACGATACCTTCCTCTTTTTTGTGGTTTGTTTCTTAACAGCCTTGCGTTTCTTGGTCGTCTTATGCTTAACAGGTTTTCTCCTAGCTGTGCTGCTGGTTCCAGATAAACGCTGTTGACATTGGAAAATATACATAAAGAAAAGAAATTAATCCTCACTGGCATAGCATTTGTGCTGAGGAACTTCCAAATCCTCCAAATATACAACAATTTCAGTATCATATTCTTTATTCTGTGCAAAAGTAGCATAAATCCTTTTTATTGCTGGTCTTTGCAATAATTGGCTCAACGCTACATTTAAGATGCGTCTCAAAACCCAACAAGGCACTTGCTCATACATCGCGAAGAGAATACAGTCGGTACACTGTTCAAAGTGAAGAATCCAGCTCAGGGA